AATTGAACCACATGTTACATTGTTTCACGATGATCTCCCACAGATTCTTCAAGATGAATATGGAGGATGGCTTGACCGCAGAAGCATGTAAAGAGCCAACCATTTTTTCTCTTGCAACTAAATAAATTCTACTCATATAATTTTTCTTGCTATATCCTCTTATATGAGCTTCTGTTGCAGCGATGACTTCACGGCTTTTGCAGACGTTTGCTTCAGGGAGTTTGGGGAATCAGTGAAATTCTGGTCTACAATTAATGAGCCCAACATTATAGCATTGATCGATTATGGATCTCTTGTGAACTGTACTCCTCCATTTGGGGTTGCAAACTGCTCTACAGAAAGCTCTTCAAGTGCGCCGTATATCGCACTCCATAACATTTTGCTTGCACATGCATCTGCCTCGAGATTGTATAAGACAAAGTACAAGGTAAAAAAACTTAGACTCACAGAAATATATATCCCTCATTCTCTTGAATGCTTAAATTTTACATCTATGTATCTCTCCTGTGATGGTGTAGGATAAGCAGAATGGATCTATAGGTATAACATTTTATGCATTCTGGATGATTCCTTTGACCAGCTCTGAAGAGGACAAGATTGCAGCTCAGAGAAACAAAGATGTCTTGTTAGGCTGGTTTGTTGTTTAACACAATTACCTTTAGTCTGATGAAACGGGGAAAACATTTTCATAAAAATCTGAATTCCAGGCTTCTGCATCCGCTCTTCTTCGGGGACTATGCTGATGCGATGAAGAGAACCGTGGGCAAACTATTGCCAAGTTTTTCTCAAGAGGAGTCAAATCTTGTTAAAGACTCATCCGACTTCGTGGGAGTCATACACTACCAAACATTCTACATTTCACATTCAGAAACGAGGGATTTGATAATCCGTATGCTTTTCTTTCCTTGGATCTTTAACGTGTGTATCTTTTTTATTCTCTGGCTGATTCTTTATTTTCATTTTCTTGGACAGCCACTGGGAACTCTACACTGCTCGAGGTGTGTTCCCAAAGATTTGCCAATTTAAGAAACCCGTTTTTGTCACTGGAACTCTCTTTATTAATCTTGTGGTTCCAATCATATATCCACACAGCTTGATGTGTTTCCGAGGGGTCTTGAAGAAGTTTTGGAATACATAAAGCAAAACTATGGCAATCCTCCGGTCTACGTTCTTGAAAACGGTATCTCTTTCCCTTCTTCTTTACTAAGTTTGTGAACATTACAGATCTTGATTAGTTACTTTGTTAAATTACACAATCAGGCACACCTAGCCACCACGATTCATCATCACTTAACGACGTGGGAAGAGTTGAATACCTTGGTGCTTATATCGGTGCCGTGCTCAATGCAGTGAGGTGTGTTATTATAATATAGAGTGCTTTTTTTTTGAATATGAATACTAAAAACGGTTTTCGACGGTTTATTGTATGCAGGAATGGGTCAGACACAAGAGGCTATTTCCAATGGTCGTTCATGGATCTTTTCGAGGTTATCGATGCCAATTACACATACGGTTTATACTATGTGAATTTCAGCGATCCTCAACGTAAAAGAACTCCGAAAACGTCTGCTTTTTGGTACTCTGCTTTTCTCAACGGCACACAACAAGAGCTTAAGAACCTCTCTCTATCTCCCTCTCCTGGTTTTGCTTCTCAGTGATGTAGGAAGTTGACCCTGTTTGGTTTTGGCCTTCCGGTTTGGCTTCGTATTCAACGAGAGGAGGAGGTACTCGCACGAGCATAAATAATTAAATAAAGGAAGTTTTGTTTGATAAATCATAAAAGTTGAATTATCAGCATTTTGTGGTTGTCAAAAAAAAAATAAAAATAATAATAATCCGTTGTATTAATATTTTGTTGCCTGTTGGCAATAGCAAACAAGGTTTATGGGTAATGAGAAGCTTATTTATCAATCGATTTTGCAAATCATTACCAAACTGAGAACACAAATCTTGCTAATCCAACGTTTTGCATATACATGTATTCTTGCTAAGTACAATTCATCTTGATTTTAGTTTTCCAAACGTATTATCCAAATAAAAATATTGAAATACTTAACTTACTCGGTAATAAAATGTGGTTAACGCCTAAACTATAAAAGTTCATGGAGAATCAATTCATCCGTAGGTGTCGTAAATAACATAACCGTCCGGTTCATTTTGGTTCGTTAAATTAATTTGTTTTTTTATCCAGAATCGGTTCGAACTGGTCTAAAAACTCGGTCTAGTTTGAAGTGGTTTAAACAGGTCGGAAAAACTTGGTCTAGTTCGAAAGACAAACTTTATTCTGCATGTTACATCAGTCTCTTCCGTGTCCGAGACGCCTCAAATTTCTGCTATCAGCTACTAAATACAAACGACACATCACTCAGATCCAAGCTTTCGTAATCACCACCGGTGATTTACTTCATGAAAAAATAATATTGTGTTGCTCTTGAATCTTGATACTCACGCAATGTATATAGTTCCAGTTACTTGCTAAGTTGTAGACTTATCTTGGGAGTTGTTGCGACATTGGCATTGTTTTTTCTTATCTGTTCCATTCTCGTTGCGGCTTCTCAATCCTTCTCTCCGATCGTCTACGTCAAGGTACTTTGATCTTTAACTTACATTGCAAGAATCACTTAGGCCACGATTGTTTCAAACACCAATTAAGTTATGTAATTGCAATTGCGCTTACATATATCAAATCAGTTTTTGTTGTTGTTGTGCATGTACATAGAAAATTTATAGAAAGAAACACTTAGAATGCATTTGTTTCAAACACTAATTTAATTATTTGTATGCATTTGCGTTTACATGTGATGACACCTTTTTTCTTCTTCAGTAAATAATGCGTTTCTCATAAAATATTTTGGATTAGTACTCACGGTTACAAATTACAATTAACAAAAATGGTTTACAATTAACATACACCAATGCAGTATAGACCTAGCTGGATTAAAGCCCACAAGAGCTCAACAGAACACGAGAAAACCTTCCGTACTGCAAAAAGAGACGTTAAGACGAGGAAGGAGACACTCCTCCAAAACAGATCTGATCCTCTTTAATATGATAGTTTTGAATAATCTTTAAAGCTGTAACTAAAATAAGGATGACCAAAGGTTTTAGATTGTTCCTTAAAGCTTTGTATAAACTCCTAGTAAAATGACATTGTAAATCACTGAGAATTAAAGTAATAAAATCGGAAGTCTAATACTCTAACGTTTTCCATTTCTGATTTCTCGCACGTAGGTCAAATCTTAAAAGATTAAGCTTAATGGAGGAGTTAGAGAAAGAAATCACTAATATTACAATTACGGATTAGTGCTTTGGACCAGAACCTCCTGGCAATTCAAACAAAAAACAAATCACTAATATTATGATCTACGACCTTCACGAGTCACAGGAAAATATGAATAAAGAGGGTGAGGGATTGTGGACGTCATGCATGTAGACTCCGCTGTTGTGATGGTGAATGTCCGCCATGCTCAGAGGTACGTGTTCGTTCTTGTGTCAAATCTAGTATCATTGTTCACACTTGGTTTCTAATTTTCAGATTTGTGGAAAAAGCCAGTCTCACAAGAATGCTCTTTAGTAGATTGCTTTGGAGTTTGGACTTTCTTTGTCCGTCTAGTTTCTAATTTGAGACTAACGTTATGAGTGATTAAACATTGTGTAATGAAAGATATCAACTCGTACGCATGGGATGATATTACCTGTTGATGTGTTCATTGCAGAGGTCCGTGTGTTCCTTGTCCAATAATGGTGGTGACTAACTGACTATATCATGTGAATTGTGTTTATGTTGTATGTTGTATGTGGTTCAGGTTGGCACTAAAAATACATCAAATTTTTAAAAATCTAAAAAAATACTCTACCTATCCAAAACATACTCTCCAATAATAATTCAATAGCTTTACTTCAGTCTTTTTTTCTCTAAAAACATTATTTTTAAAAGATAGAGGGAGCACTAAAATAAATTATGGCCGAATGGGCACAATATTTAAAATCCGAAATTCGATTCGAGATGTGATCCAACCAATTCGGTCAAGAAATTTAAATAGAGTATTTATTTGATCGGGTCCATAGTAGTAACTACTCCAATAAATACATTCATTTACACCAACAAACTAAACATTGCCATTGCCGACAGTGTATACTCCCTCCGTTTTTTTTTACTTGTTTTCTAGAGATTTTCACACATATTAAGAAACTCATTAAATTTGCTATTTGACCATTATTTAATACTTAGTTTTCTTTGATAGGAATAATCAATAAACTAAAAAACTGAGGATAAAACTGGAAAATATATCATTAATCTACATTGGAAATACAAAACGACAAGTAATATGAAAAAAAAATTCTCTCTAGAATGACAAGTAATATGAAACGGAGGGAGTATAAAACAAGAGTGCTCCTTATAATACTAAATGTCGTTGAAAAAAAAACTAGATGAATTTTGTTGAAAAAATAAAAACTAAATTTTATTAAACTTAGATTGTACTGTATAATTGGTTAGATTTGATGATTGATGGGTGAAAAAGAAACAGGAGTCGTCTTGCACAAATAAGGAGGTACGTGTCTCACATTACTATTTTTGTTTTGTTTTCTTGTTTTTCTTTTCTCAAACATCAACTTTTGTATTCATTCAAAGCGAGATTACAACTTTGTTTATCCACTTCTACGAAAGAGTTCATCCAATTTGGCATCATAAAATGCACTTTGGGAACATAATCCACAAGGATTGAATTGAAAATGATACGAACAAGAATGGAATAAAAAAAAAAAATCGGGTTTAAAAAAACACATTTTTAAACTAGTTGACGAATTTGTGAGATTCTTAAAAAAAAAAAAAAACAACAGTTTGAAAACACAACGGTTTAGAAACAACACAGCAACTCCGATTCCGATTTAGAAACTATCAATGCAAAGCGTAGAATTTACCGGCGATGACCCCAATCATTGTTTTTCTTCTCCTTTTTTGGTCGGCTTTCAAGACCTCTGCAGAGGCTAAAAAGAAGATGGAACAAGTTTTGTTTCTGATTACCATTGTTTCGAGTTTTGTTTTCTCCGGGAGATGCAACAATGTTTACAATTACAGCAGGAGCGATTTCCCGGAGGGTTTCGTTTTCGGATCCGCCATTTCTGCTTATCAGGTTTGGAAATTCGAAACTAACATCTTCATTTGGGATTTGAATCTTGTTTACGAATGGATGGATTTTCCAATGATTTATGAAAGTGGGAAGGAGCTGCTGATGAAGACGGAAGGACGCCTAGCACTTGGGATACCGATTTTCACTCTAGTAAGCTCTTTCTCAAAGCAATTTAATGTTTTAATAAATGGTTTAGGGTTTATTCAATCATTACTCTACTTAACGATGCAGATAGTGGAGACATAGCATGTGATGGATATCATAAGTATAAGGTTGGACACTGATTCATGTTTTCCTCTTTGATTTATTTAATGAACAAATATTAGTTGAAATTGTGATAATGTTGCAGGAGGATGTAAAGCTAATGTATGATATGGGTTTAGATGCATTACGATTCTCTATCTCGTGGCCACGGCTTATACCAAGTGCGTTTTGTTTCTTTGCCAGTACTCGAATTTGTTACTTTGCCTCTAGTTTTATAGGCGTTTTGTTGTGGTTTTTTCAGGTGGAAGAGGTGCTGTGAATCCAAAGGGTTTACAGTTCTACAAAAACTTCATAGCTGAGCTCAAAAGACATGGTAAGATTATGCCTTCTCTCTATCATCACCATTTGGTGTGATTATGTGTCCTGTGTTCTTGGAAGAAGTTAATGAAAATTTGAGTTATCTGAACAGGAATTGAACCACATGTTACATTAAATCACGATGATCTCCCTCAGGTTCTTGAAGATGAATACGGAGGATGGCTTGACCGCAAAATCATGTAAAAGCCAACATAAATCTTGCAACTAAATTCTATTCATATAATTTCTCTTGCTATATCTTCTTATATGAGCTTTTGTTGCAGCGATGACTTCACCGCTTTTGCAGACGTTTGTTTTAGAGAGTTTGGGGAATCAGTGAAATTTTGGACCACAATTAATGAGCCAAACCTTATAGCATTGGTATGTTATGAAAACTCTTCAACAGAGCCATATATCGCACTCCATAACATGTTGCTTGCACATGCATCTGCCGCCAGATTGTATAAGACAAACTATAGGGTAAGCTTACACACACATTGATATTTTTTTATCTCTTGAATGCTCGATTTATCTCTTTCTCTCTCCGTCTCTCTCGGGTGGTACTGGTGTAGGTTAAGCAGAATGGATCTATAGGAATAACATTTTATGGATCCTGGGTGATTCCTTTCACTAGCTCTAAAGAGGACAAGATTGCAACACAGAGAGCCAAAGATTTCATATATGGCTGGTTTGTTTTTTAAAACAATTACCTCCAACTCTATGCATGCCTTTGAAATACATCTTCAGCTGGTCTGATGTAAAAGGCTAATTATTTTCATAATTATGAATTCCAGGGTTCTTCATCCGCTGTTCTTGGGGGACTATCCTGATGTGATGAAGAGAATCGTGGGCAAAAGATTGCCAACTTTTTCTGAAGAGGAATTACGTCTTGTTAAAGACTCATCCGACTTCGTGGGAGTCATACACTACCAAACAGTGTACATCGCACACGCAGATTATACTTCAGACATGGGTGGTGTGATCATCCGTATGCTTTTCTTTCCTTGGATCTTTAACGTGTGTATCTTTTTTATTCTCTGGCTGATTCTTTATTTTCATTTTCTTGGACAGTCTATGGGAATTGTACAGAGGTCGAGGTATGTTTCCAAAGATTGCCAATTTAAGAAACCCGTTTTCGTCACCATAACTCTCTTTATTAGTCTTGTGGTTCCTATCATATATCAACAGCTTGATGTGCTTCCATGGGGCCTTGAAGAAGTGTTGGAATACATAAAGCAAGACTATGGCAATCCTCCGGTCTACATTCTTGAAAATGGTATCTCTTTCTCTTGTTCTTTACTTAAAAAATTACGGATATTGAGATTTTCTCTGTAAACACACAAAATCAGGACGACCTAGCAAGCACGATTCATCGCTTAAGGACGTGGGAAGAGTTGAATACCTTGGTGCTTATATCGCTGCCGTGCTCAATTCAGTGAGGTGTGTTATATAATATAGAGTGCTTTTTGTAAAGACTTTGCCTTGTAAACTGGAATACTAAACACGTTTTTCGACAATCTTTTGTATGTAGGAATGGGTCAGAGACAAGAGGCTACTTCCAATGGTCGTTCATGGATCTGTTAGAGATTATTGATAGCAGTTACACATATGGTTTATACCATGTGAATTTCAGCGATCCTCAACGTAAAAGAAGTCCGAAAACGTCTGCTTTTTGGTACTCTGCTTTTCTCAACGGGACAGAACAAGAGCCCAAGAACCTCTCTGTATCTTCCTCCCTTGGTTTTGCTTCTCAGTGAATTAGAAAGTTGACCCGGTTTGGTTTTCTTATTCAACGAGAGGTGGTTTCGCACGAGCATAAATAAATAGATATATTAATGAGCTTTTGATCAATAAAAGTGTAAGTATCGTCCGTTGTATTTTGTGTTTATTGTCAATAGCAAAACCAGATTTATGTGTATTGATGAGAAGCTCATATATATATATATATCACTCTCGTGATCTAGGTACGCAAGACAAGTCTCACTCAATGGAGCATTAAAAAACTGAAGCTTAACTAATGTTAACATTCATACCAAAAAATACTAATGTTAACATCTAAAATGATTAAAATGATTCAAAGCCATGCACGAGTCTCAAACAATCAGTTTTGCATCTTCAACAAATCATTACCAAAATGATAACACAAATCTTGCTGATTACAAATTATCTAACGTCTAAACATACATACATATTCTTGCTAAGTAAAATTAATCTTCATTTTTATTTACAAAACCGTACTATCATCCAAAACCGTACAAAACCGTCCGGTTCATTTTGGTTCGTTATATTAATTTGTTTTTGATCCAGAACCGGTTCGAACTGGTCTAAAGACTCGGTCTAGTTCGAAGTGGTTTAAACTGGTCTGAAGAAACTCGGTCTAGTTCGAAAGGTGACAGACGAACATTTTTCTACATGTTACATCGGACTCTTCCGTGTCCGAGACGCCTCAAATTTCTACTATCAGCTACTAAACACAATCTACACATCGCTCAGATCCAAGCTTTCGTAATCACTACCGGTCATTTACTTCATGGAAGATCCATTAGCCGAGACCTCGTCGCTTCCTGTGTACGAATCGGAGATCTCTCTCATGCCCGTAAGGTGTTCGACCAATTGCCTGACAGAAGTGTTTCTCTGTACAACTCCATGGTCGTTGCGTATTCTCGCGGCAACAAACCAGACGAGGTTCTCCGACTTTACGATGAGATGATATGTGAACGTATTCAACCAGATAGCTCGACTTTCACTATGACGATCAAGGCTTGCTTGAGTAGTATGGTTTTGAAGAGAGGAGAGGCTGTGTGGTGTAAAGCAGTTGAATGTGGGTATGAAGATGATATTTATGTATGTTCATCTGTGTTGAATCTGTACATGAAATGTGGGAAATTTGATGAAGCGGAGGTTATATTCGGGAAGATGACGAAAAGAGATGTTATTTGCTGGACAACAATGGTGACAGGGTTTGCACAAGCTGGTAAGTCTCTGAAAGCTGTTGATTATTACGGAGGGATGCAAAATGAAGGATTTGGTAAGGATAAAGTTGTGATGTTGGGTCTCTTACAAGCTTCTGGTGATCTCGACGATGCGAGAATGGGCCGGTCTGTGCACGGGTTTATGATACGAACATGTCTTCCTATGAATGTTGTTGTTGAAACTAGCGTGGTTGATATGTATGTCAAAGTTGGGTTTATAGAGCTTGCTTCAAGGGTGTTTAGTATGATGAGGTTTAAAACCGAAGTCTCTTGGGGTTCGCTGATCTCCGGTTTTGCTCAGAATGGATTAGCAAACAGAGCGTTTGAAGCGGTGGTGGAAATGCAGAGGCTTGGGTTTGGACCGGATCTTGTGACTCTTGTCGGAGTGGTCTCGGTTTGTTCGCAAGTCGGGTCGTTGAAGACAGGTAGGTCTGTGCATTGTTACGTCTTGAAAAGGTTTGTTCTTGATCGAGTAGTTGCGACCGCGCTGATGGATATGTACTCGAAGTGCGGCGTTCTTGCGAGATCGAGAGAGATTTTCGAAAAGATTGGAGAGAAAGACTTGGTTTGTTGGAACACGATGATGTCTTGCTATGGAATCCATGGGAATGGTGAGGAAGTTGTGTCGTTGTTCATCAAAATGACGACGGAATCGAACGTAAAACCGGACCACGCCACTTTCGCAACTCTTCTCTCTGCTCTAAGTCACTCGGGTTTTGTGGAACAAGGCCAGTATTGGTTCAGGGTCATGATCGACAGATACGGTATCGAACCGAGCGAGAAACACTACCTTTGTTTGGTCGATCTTTTCGCGCGGTCAGGGAGAGTGGAGGAAGCTCTAGAGATGATAAGAAACTCTGAGAAGCTCGACAGTTCTTTGCCTATATGGGGAGCTCTTCTCTCGGGATGCATCAGCCACAGGAATCTATCGGTTGGTGACATCGCGGCGGAGAAGATCCTTGAGCTGAGTCCGGACAGCACCGGAATCCAAACGCTGGTTTCGAACTTTTACGCGACTGCGAAAAGATGGAAACAAGTGGCTAGAGTGAGGAGGTTGATGAGAATTAGTGGGGCGGTGGAGAAAGTGCCTGGTTCCAGTGTGATTGAGGTTAATGGTCAGCTTCGAAGTTTTGTCATGGAGGATCTTAGTCATTATGAGCATCATCACATGTTGCAAGTGTTGAGGAACTTGAGCTCTGAGATGAGACATGTATATACATCCATTTTATAAAGAAATTAAAGAAAACAATGATTCGGAATTTGATTTGTAAAAAAAAAAAACAACTTAGTAATTGAAAACCAAGAGATCAAACATGCTTGGTTCTTTTCCTTTTGTGTCCAGGAAGAAGTGGAGTTTGTTGGATTTGAGCCAAACTTGGAACATAACTCATAAGAACTTGGGAAGACTTTGGTCTACATGTCGGATCTAAATCTCCACCATAATGATCCACCAATGCGTATTTATCTTCTCCCACAATGCACAGCTCTCTGTTGGAATCCGGGTACTTCTTGCAACACACTACAACTTTGTTCTCCTCGTCGACCAAGAAACTCATCCAACTACCCAACTTGAGGACATTAATCTTTCTCAGGAACTTGCTCCATGACATGACTCCGATACTATCTGTCACCAAAACATTCAAACCTCTTGAATCTCCACCTAACAGACAGAGTTTCTCTTCTCTAACCACTGATAAAACCGCAAAATCAGAGAACTTAAACTGACGAGGAAGAGACCGACTCTGAAACCTCTCCGTTGAAAAATCAAAGCTTAGCAAGAAATTAGGAAAGTCGTCCAAAGTAATAGCAAGAGCAATCCAATAAGTGTTTCCCTTCACAGACACGCCACGAACCTCTGCCACTAAAGACCAGTCCGTAGCTACACCAAGATTCCTCCAAGAATCAGAGGTAAGATCATAGATTCCGTTCTCGTTACGGTTAAGAGGGTCTTGACAATCCACCTTCAGGATTTTGTATTGCTTGCAGGAGGATTTGGTATCGTAACCGTAACCGAGAGCATAGTAGTCGGTTTCCTTGTATCTGCTGCTCGGTTTAATCCACTTGGTTTCCCCTGAGCATGGGTTGCAAACCACGTGTCTACGGTCCTTCGTGGTGCACAGCAGTAGACCGTCGCAGTGGAACACGTCACGTATATCGACCCGTGAAGAGTTATAACGAGGATCGTAAAGATGGAATTGAGATCCTACATTAACAGATGGAGCAACGTTGTCGTTGCCGTGCATTCCAAGGAGACTGATATTTACTAAGTAAAGTCTAGAACCAATGAGCATGATAGGCAGAGACTCCTTTGGTGCACTAGCAGAATGTTTATTAGCAAACCTCCCGGTTTTCGATAGAGAGTTCCATCGTTTCGATGTTGCTCGGAATCGTGCCAGAGACTTCGTTGGAACCCTAGAGAGTATCTCCTCTATCAAATCCTCCGGAAGATTACTGTTCTTATCCATTCAGGTTTTGTGACTTATCATTATCCAAAATCAGATTCTAACATTCTCATCTTATTATATATCATCATTATACAATGTCGGTTTCCTATTTCTAAAAGGAATGTACAACTACTTCTTACGTACTCGTTCTCATTCAGCTAATCCATCAATCATCTCTTCCAAGATAAGATATTGCAGCGCGATCGAATACTTGGCGCTTTTACCATTACTTCTCAAGAGAAACGATCCATCTCCATGTCCTTCATCACAATAATTTTTTATAAAAAAACTAAGTCTTGTAGATGTTGTAATGTCATACATGAATCCCAAAGAAAGAAACAAAACCAAACCTTTTATTGTAAAGATTGTCGTAATCCATCGCTTGTAGATGAACAGCGATCTCGGGGAGTCTCCAGGATTGGTCTCGGATATAAAAAGTTCGCAAGTTGCTTTCCTACTGAAACAAAACACACAGAATTTCAAAGCACCTCCATAAGTTTTTGCAAAATCTTTGCCATGTAAACAAGAAAAAGCTAAACTCACTTGGCATGAGTAATAGCATTGTGGCATAGAGCGAGAGTCCGAACCATAGCCATGTCTCTAGCCCTTGAAGAATTCATTAGAGTCCCATTGGAGTTTCTGATCAAAGAACTCATGAGTGATTGTGTGGCTTTACTTAACCTGAAACTAAACTTGTAGAGAAGTGTGAGAGGAAGGAGAGAGCTCACAATTGAGTGAAGAAGTCACCAAAATCATCGATTATAACAGCAGCTGGGAGATCCAGATGAAGATGAAACGCAGCAAAGTATCTCCTGATTCCTTCATCATCATCTACATACCTTCAATTACACAAACATAGCCAGTGTTTATATCGGAATCATTAACCTACTTTGTTCAAAGCTATGTAATTGTTGTTTCTTACTTCATATGAATTCGATTGAATACATCGGAGGAGGGATCGATTCCCTGAGAAGATTTGAGCTTAGATTAAGGATCCCACAAAACAAAATCAAAGGGAAAGCTTAAATTGCGGAAAAATGTTACCTGAGAGAGAAACGGAGGATTAGCTTCAAGTCTTTTCCGGTGACAGATGAAGACGACGCGGTTGCTTGGAGAAGCACTCGCTACGTTGAGAGCGTATTGGAAGAGCAGAGATGTTTTGCCTCTGTAGTAGAGAGAACAAATCAGTGAGGGAGAGACTGAGAAAATGAGGATAAATTAGTTTTGAAAAACGTCGTAAGGAAGATTACGATGAAATTGGGCCGGAGAGGAGAGTCATTTTTTCCCGCCGGCCGCCGGAGCTCGACTTCGTCGGGAAGAATCTCTCCACCATTTTAGGCAGCTATAATACTCAAATCGGGCTCATTTCTATTGAGAAATCAGAAGGAGATTGAACAAAGAAGCATAACATACAAAAACCTTAGAGCTCGTTTTCAATTACTCTTTTTGATTTACATGAAAACTGAAGACTCTCAATCTCTCATCGATCGAAACTCCGATCAGAAGAGACGACAAACATAAAAATAAAAACGGACGATACTTCCCCTTTTTGTTATACAAAAACTTCATTCATTTATGTATTTTATATTACGCACGTGCGAGACCTCCTCTCGTTGAATAAGAAAACAAGACCGGGTCAAATTGCTTTACATCACTGAGAAGCAAAACCAGGAGAGGAAGATACAGAGAGGTTCTTGGGCTCTTGTTGTGTCCCGTTGAGAAAAGCAGAGTACCAAAAAGCAGACGTTTTCGGAGTTCTTTTACGTTGAGGATCGCTGAAATTCACATGGTATAAACCGTATGTGTAATTGGTATCGATAACCTCGAACAAGTCCATGAACGACCATTGGAAATAGCCTCTTGTATCTGACCCATTCCTGCATACAAAAGATTGTCGAAAAACGTTTTAGTATTCATGTTTACAAGGCAAAGTCTTTTCAAAAAGCACTCTATATTATATAACACACCTCACTGAATTGAGCACGGCAGCGATATAAGCACCAAGGTATTCAACTCTTCCCACGTCGTTAAGCGATGAATCTGGTTGCTAGGTCGACCTGATTGTGTAATTTAACAAGTAAAATCTAAAAATCCGTAATGTTCACAAACTTAGTATAGAACAAGAGAGAGAGAAAGACCGTTTTCAAGAATGTAGACCGGAGGATTGCCATAGTTTGCTTTATGTATTCCAAAACTCCTTCAAGACCCCATGGAAGCACATCAAGCTGTGAATATATGAAAAGGAAACACAGATTAATAACGAGAGTTGGGTGACGAAAACGGGTTTTTTGAAATTGGCAAATCTTTGGAAACACACCTGACCGCTGTAGAATTCCCATGGCTGTCCAAGAAAATGAAATAAACAATCAGCTATGAACTCAGCCTTCACTAAGGTAAGAAAAAAAAATACACAAAAGATCATAGGAGGAAAAGCATACGGATTATCAAGCACTCATGTCTGACTGATAATCTTCGTGGCGGGAACTGTATAAGTCTCCGATGTACATTGTTGTGTAGTGTATGAGTCCCAAGAAGTCGGCGGAGTCTTTAACAAGATTTGATTCTTCTTCCGTAAAACTTGGCAATCTTTCCCCACGATTCTCTTCATCACATCAGGATAGTCCCCCAAGAAGAGCGGATGAAGAACCCTGGAATTCAGAATTATGAAAATGTTTCGCCGAACAAGAACTTTTAAACAAATTCGAGATGAGTGTGTTAAACAACAAACCAGCCTAATAAGAAATCTTTGGCTCTCTGAGTTGCAATCTTGTCCTCTTCAGAGCTAGTAAAAGGAATCACCCAGAATCCAAAACATGTTATACCTATAGATCCATTCTGCTTATCCTACACCATCACACGAGATACAGAGAGGTAAAATTTAAGCATTCAAGAGATGAGGGATATAAATTTATGTGAGTCTTAAGTTTTTTTTACCTTATACTTTGTCTTATACAATCTTGCGGCAGATGCATGTGCAAGCAACATGTTATGGAGTGCAATGTATGGCTCAGTTGAAGAGTTTCCTCTAGAGCAGTTGACAAACCCAAATGGAGGAGAACAGTGTGAAGGAGGTGCAGCTCCCACGTCATAACCTCCAACTGCTAACAAAGTAGGCTCATTAATTGTCGTCCAGAATTTCACTGCTTCCCCAAACTCTCTGAAGCAAACGTCTGCAAAAGCCGTGAAGTCATCGCTGCAACAGAAGCTCATATGTTCTTTAATTTACTTACTACAGTTTAGTTACAAGAACAAATTGTTGGCTCTTTACATGATTTTGCGGTCAACCATCCTCCGTATTCATCTTCAAGAACCTGAGGGAGATCATTGTGATGCAATGTAACATGTGGTTCAATTCCTGTTCATAGAACTCAAAATTTCATTAACTTCTTCAAGAACACATAACATAATCACACCAAATGGTGATGATAGAGAGAAGCATAATCTACCATGTCTTTTGAGCTCATGTATGAAGTTTTTGTAGAACTGTAAACCCTTTGGATTCACAGGACCTCTTCCACCTGAAAAAAACAACCACTTTATAGAGGCAAAGTAACAAATTCGAGTCCTCGGAAAGAAACAAAACGCACTTGGTATAAGCCGAGACCACGAGATGGAGAATCGAAATGCATCTAAACCCATATCATACATCAGCTTACATCCTCCTGCAACATTATACAGTTTCATAGCTAAATTATTAAGCACTAAACAATTTACAGAGGAAAACATGAAGCAGTGACCAACCTTATACTTATGATATCCATCACACGCTATATCTCCATTAGGTCCACCACCTGCATCGTTAAGTTGACTAATGGTTCAATAAACCCTAAACCTAGACAATATCTCAATTCAAACGTCAAATTACTTTGTGAAATTTTTAACTCAATTTTGTTTTGTGAAAGAGCTTACTAGAGTGAAGAAATGTATCCCAAATGCTAGGCGTCCTTCCGTCTTCATCAGCAGCTCCTTCCCACTTTCAGAAACCATCGAAAATGCATCCATTCAAATCCCAAAGTAAGAAAAACGGAAGTGGTTAGTTCGAATTTCCAAACCTGAAAGCAGAAATGGCGGATCCGAAGACGAAACCCTCCGGGAAATCGTTCCTGCTGTAGTTGTAAGCATCGCTGCATCTCCCGGAGAAAACGAAACTCGCGAAAATGGTAATCAGAAACAAAATTTGTTCCATCCTTCTTCTTAGCTTCTGCAGAGGTCTTGAAAGCAGACTGTACGACTGAGAAGAAAGCGATGATCGGAGTCATCACCGGTAAGTTCTACGCTTTGCATTTGATAGTTTCCAAATTAATTGGAACAAAAGTTGCTATAATTAAACTTTAAGTAAGTTCTCACAAATTAGCAAAATAGTTTTAAACGTTATTTCTAATTCGCATCATCTTCAATTCAAACATAATATATAGTTATTTTTTTAGTTAAGAAAATGTTTTCGAAGTTGTAACTTTACGTCACTCTTTTTGAAGAAAGTAGTACCACAAATGGCAAAAATATAACAAAGATAGTTTATGTGAAAGGTACTGCGAAATGTATCATAAATGGTACTGTGAGAGAAGTACCTTATTTGGGGAAGATGACTACTGTTTCGGGTTCATTCACTCATCAATTCTCAAATATAGTAATCAATCATACTTCTGTCTTTCTCTCCGAGCATCCAATATTATACATATGATTCGGAATTTGGTGGTTAGCCAAAGAGGTGGCAGCTACCTACCAGTTGATTTTTTTTTTTAATAGATTATGTCTCCACTAAAAACAGAATTTTACCCCCACCACACTGTTAAGTCAAGTTCAAGTCCAAAATACTACAAACTTAACCATTTCACTTTAATTTGATAATATTATATCAAATTAGAGTCTGAAAAACCTCGTGCTTTGTATACAAGTTTGTTAAGAATTTTTAATTAAGGGATTCTAAAGCTAAATTACCCGATTTAACTTTGTCTTTGTGAACAATCTTTCTTTCGCAGCATCTTAGTTTTTCTATGAGAGTATGTTCATTAGTCACCAACCATGTGAAACCCAATGTGGTGGTCATCAACCAAAAAAAGGACACTTGTGTGGTGTGTAGAGACCACGTGTGTTTTATATAATGTCGGCAATGCAGTTATCTTATATGTGGTGTGTAACTAACTGAATGAAGTTTATGGAATTAAGTGATGGGGTCACATATCAAGTCGCAAAAACGTAGACTCGTGGAGGCGACTAAAAAAATATAAGATATGCAACTGACTATGATGTCGCAAATACTTTCTTTTAGTTTTCGTGCTATAGTTGCTCCAGAATTCTGAAGCTAAATTAGCCGATTTAACCCGACTTATTTTGTTTGATCTTTCTTTCTTTTTTTCTGTGAACAGTCAATCTTTATCTCGTTAGTTTTCGTTTTTCATAAATCTAGCATCTTGTTTTTCTTCTAAAATATTCTCCATACACAATGCGGAAGCAAAACAAGTCGCTTGTGTGGAGTAGAGACCACGTGCGTATATATGTACGGGGAAGTTGGATATCGTTGCCGCAACCACAAATATTTTTATGTGAAGAGTACGTACCAAATACTATCCAGTTTTCAACATTTCTCTGATAAGATAAATTAACTGACTTATTTTCAATGGACAACTAGTTTTTTATTGGTTAAAGAATAGGTGGTTGAAGAAAATATAAATGAGAAGATGCCACGAGATATGTCAAGTTTTTCTTGGAAGCAAGAGGTATGAAGATTCTCAAAAAGGTCTTCTGGTGTAAAGAGGCAGCATTGACTTTGCTTACACGAAAAGTCGTCTCGAATTTAATCACCAAATGTTTTATTTTGTTCTTTTTATAAATAAGGGGTGATCGGAATATTCTCGTCCGACTAATTCTTCTAGATTGTAACCTCAGATTAACCTATTCACCATGTTTTTTTATATGTATAAGTGTGATACAATTTCGGCTCGTTAAATGGAACTAGTTAGACAATCATCAGATTTTTACTCTCAATTCTGGTTTAATCAGCTGATTAAAAAATGATCATAGATGACTTAATACTTTCGTTTTACATTTTCATTTTTTATGTCTTTACTATTTAGAACTAATACTGGCCAATCACTTTTCATTAATGGCCACATGCATTTTTTGATGTTATTGTTTGTAGGCTCGCAGCACAAATGTGTATGTATGAGTGTTGCAATCGTACTTTCCGTTCCACAACCACTCATCTTCAGTTACCATCCACATGCTTTAAATGGTAACTTATTTGCAGTCGAACTGGCTGATAATTACCACAACTACCGTCAATTAGTTGATGAAAAAAAACTAATATTACAATTTTTTAAAAATTATAAAATAACTAATATCACATCATTGGATAAAATAGTATATTTGGTGGAATTGGAAGAATTTATCAAAAGAAATAAAATTATGGATCTAATTAATTTTCCATAATTGAGTATTATTCAATTATATTTGTCGAAAAAACAAAATTCCGGTAAGTTCTGCTAACCACCACCAATTATCTTAATTAAGACACTCTTGTTTTTTTTCTATCAGACTATACTGTTATCATTTAATCTCAGACCACCTATAAACTTATCACCAGACAAAGAAATGTCAAATCTTAAAACAAAAACATTAACTACACACCTGCAAGAAGAAAACATTGTAACATGCGGACATCAGATTTTAGCCGCCTTTAACGGTGACGGCGTTGAGTGTTTTCCACAAAAACTGTTTTCTACAAACAAAAAAATATATTTTATTCCTCTACCTAATTAATTTTAGAAATTTGATTGAGAGCAAGAAAGAAGAAAGAGACCAGAAGAAAAGAGAAGAGAAGGGTCAAACAATTTAAACATCACTAGTCAACGTTTGATAAACCTCTTCATCTCACTACTTCTCTCCGCATTCACATCTCTCTCTCTTTCTCTCTCAAGTTACCTCTTTTCACAATCTCTCTGGAAATTTCTCCCATGGCAGCAGTAAGTTTCTACAAGTTTTTTTTTGCTTTCTCTCTTCTTCTCAGATTCCACTCTTTTGCTCCGATTCCGTGAATCTCTGTAAAAGACCTTAGAGAAAGCGAGTCTTTATCTATTTCCAGATTGTTGCAGCATTTATGTTTTTTGATCAGAAACATTTCATGAGATTGCGATGTATGATTTATTCAATTCAATTGTTTGATTCCGATTGCTAGATAAAGAAAAGGGCTTTGCTCAAAATTTTGAATCAGCTTCCGTACTCTACAAAAGTTTCCATTTTTAGATCAATCCTTTATTGTTGCTATCTTGTTCTGTGATGATTTGTTCATTAGGATCTAACCATTCTCGTTGTTGAACTTGATTGAATTGTGTGATCACTGAAACAGCGATCGAATGTTCCCAAATTTGGAAACTGGGAAGGTGAAGAGAATGTTCCATACACAGCTTACTTTGACAAAGCTCGTAAAGTTCGAGCTCCAGGAGGAGGCAGAACAACGAACCCGAACGACCCCGAATATTACTCTGATTCGCAGTCTCAAGCTCCTCCTCCTCCTCCTCCATCTTCAAGAACCAAACCTGAGCAAGAAAAACCGGTAAGAAGATCACGTGAGCAGATGAGAAGCAGAGAAGAGAGCGAGTTGAAGCAGTTTGGTGATGGTGGCTCATCAAATGAAGGTGGTAACAGAAGACAAGGAAGGTCTTCTCAGAACAACAGTTACGATAAGTCTCCATTGCATAAGAACTCGTATGATGGTACTGGAAGATCCAAGCCTAAACCAAACCTTAGAGGAGCTGATGAAAGTGTAAGAAATCTCATTTTTTTTAACTCTTAAGAGTGTGTCAAGTTTTTGATATTGCTTTTGTGTTGTGTTACTATCTGAGTTTTTGAACTGTTTTGATAGCCGGAGAAAGTGACGGTGGTGCCGAAATTCGGCGATTGGGACGAGAATAATCCGTCGTCAGCTGATGGATACACACACATTTTCAACAAGGTTCGTGAAGAGAGAAGTTCTGGAGCAAATGTGACCGGATCTTCGAGAACTCCGACACATCCAAGCCCTCGTAGTAACCCTTCTTCCAACACTTCCAAAGTAAGACATTACTTCAATAGAAAAAACATCTTTTACATATTTGAAAAGTAGTCCTTTTGAAGTTTGAACATTGTTGTTCTCTCTCTTGATAGTGTTGCTGCTTTGGCTTTGGAGGGAAATGAAGAGGAAACCGTTTGTGGAGAGGATTTGTATATAGTTTATGGAGGAAACCTTGGTGTGTAATTTATTGGTTTTAATGGCAGACATTGGAGCTTCTTTAGATGGTGAATAAGGGAATCAGTCCCCAGTTGCATAAGATTTTATAGTGTAATAAACTGTATGTATTATTGTAATTTTCCGAATATTTTTTTGGTGTTTCCATTTCAAGTTTTGGACCTCCTTTGCAGATTCATTATTTATACTGGTACGCGTAGACCAGTTTGGTTAACCCGCTTTAACCTCACAAGTTTCTTTGTTTTTGTTCTCCCTAATGTTTAAAGTCTTAAGGAAACTCTGAACCATTCTCAAACTCAAGCTATGCTAAATAGACAATGAGACAAACACTTATAATCAAACCTATAAATATTTAATATTCATACAAAACTGACTTATAGAGGTAGATCAAGATTAGTAAGATCTTGAATATTATTTATTTTTCCATGTTCCATATGATATCATATACTTTGTAGATTAATGAAAATGTTGTATTTTTGATAAGATTTACACAAAAATGAAAGTGGATTTATTTATCTGTTTGTTGGAATTAGAAACCTGAAATATTGCATAACAGAAACACGCCCAAGCTCTCTGTAATATGGGCCAAGAGAAAGCCCATATTACCCCAACAATAAAGATTAAATTATTAACATAGTATAAAATTTGAATCATTAATTAATCGAATAATCCCGAATAAGAATTCCCGAAAATGCTTGACACAGCTGGTTGACCCAGTTTTATATTGACTGTTGTTGACTAGTCGAGAGTGTGTGGAACAAAAAATTGAACGTTGATTTATTTACGCAAAATAAACGTACGGTCCAGATTACTCCTTCTACGTGGATGCGTTGCATATGATTTATTTTCCCTCTTTTTATCATTTCAGCGCCAACGTCAAAGTTTTTGGCGGTCGATCAAATTGTTTCGAAATTTGAAGATTTTAACCCGCAAAATACACAAACCCCAAATCGAAAACATTTCAAAAATTTTCATTACTACAAGAATTATACCTTCAGATCTTCATCTTCCACTTTCTCTCTGCACTCTCTCTCACTCCTTCTTTGTTCAATTTGACTTTCTATCAAGAGGCCGAAGAGAAACGAATCCGATTCGGAGCTCACAAATTCATAGAAGAAACTCGAATTCTCAGGTACTTTTGGCTGTTGTTGTATCTCCGAATCTCGGGTTTCTGGTTCTCAGTCCTGATTTCGGCTTTAATCTGGTGGAATTATAGATTGTGTGTACTGATTTAGGTAGGAGATCTGCCGCCATTTCTGGATTCAATTAGGGTTCTTATTAGCAACAGGGATTTTTCCACACATACTGAATCTGAAATTTTGCGAAGAGCCCTCTTTATCTTCCGTTCTGGGTAATCCAATTTCACGGATATGGTGAGAATTCAGGAAGTGGAATCGTTCTACGCCAAACTTCGCGAATCAGCTACTTCATCGTCTTCTCAGAATCCTCTCCTGATATTCCCTTCATCATCCGACGTCGATTCGATTTGTGCGCTCAAGGTCATAACTCACATCCTCGAGTCGGATTCGATCCAGTATTCGTGTTTCCCCGTATCGTCGTTTCTGGAAATCCACAAGTACGCAGGTCCCGGGCTGTGTTCTCCGTCGCCGGAGAATCCCGTCACTATACTTCTGATCAATTGGGGCTGTCACCGTGATTTGAAGGTTGTGCTTAAGCTAGGTCCAGCGGCTCGTGTCTTCGTGGTGGATAGTCACCGACCTATTCATTTGCATAATCTGAGCGATCTGAATGAGCAGGTTGTTGTTCTTCACACTGACGATGATGAGAGGCAAGCAGATCTGGCTTACGATTTCGATGTGTTGAAATTGGCGAACGAGAGCTTTCAGTTACATGTAGAAAGAGAAGATGGTGATGAATCTGATGGTGACTACGAAGAAGAAGAAGAAGAGGAGGATGATGAGGAAGAGGATGAAGAAGAGGAAGAGAGTGACGATGGAGATGGTGGTAGAGCAAGGAAGAGGAGGAAAATGAATGATGGTGTGAAGATTTTCAAGAAGCAGAAAAGGGACTATTACAAAATGGGGACTTTCCATGGGAAGCCATCTGGGTGTTTGTTGTTTGAGCTATCAAACGTGTTGAGGAAGAACACAAACGAGCTGCTATGGCTGGCTTGCGTTTCCTTGACTGATCAGTTCGTTCACGAGAGGTTAACCGATGAGAGATACCAAGCCGCGGTGATGGAGCTCGAGCAACACATCAACAGCTCGGAGAACAAAGACAAGATCACATCTGTGACTCTGAAAGACGGCACCAAGGTTCGAGCACCAGACTGCTCAAGAATCTCATACGAAGAAGAGCCAAGGCTCATGCTTCTCAGGGAGTGGACTCTATTTGACTCCATGCTCTGCTCATCATACATTGCAACAAAGCTTAAGACTTGGAGCGACAACGGGATCAAGAAGCTCAAGCTTCTTCTGGCTCGTATGGGGTTTGCGCTTATCGAGTGTCAGCAGAAGTTTCCGTACATGAACAACGAGGTGAAGAGGAAGATGAAGCAAGAGTTTGATCGGTTTCTGCCGGAGTATGGTCTAAACGATTTCTACTACCGAAGTTTCTTGAGGCTTCATGGTTATAGCTCAAGGGTCTCTGCAGCGGATGTTGTGTACGGTATCACAGCTCTTCTTGAATCGTTTCTTGGCTCAGGTGGCTCCTCTGCTTCGAAACAGTTCGGTGAAGCTTATGACGCTCTCTCTTTGAACAATCTGGATAAACTTCGGTTAGGGATGCAACAAGCGATCAAAGTTCAAAGAGCGATTCTTAGACAGGGAAGTGCAGCGATCATGAAAACCGGATGCATCAGAAGCGGTAGGAAGTTCAGATGGGTGAAGATTGAGGATTCAATTGATGCAAAGTATTTGGGATATCCTCAGGCGTTGACTAAGTTCTGTTACTTTCTGATGGATGCTTTGAGAGAGAAAGGAGCGAGAATGAAACCAATGCTATGCGCCTGCGCTTCGCAGCAGCCAGGGAAGATACTTGTGGTTGGAGTTTGTGGGAAGCCGCGGCTTGGAGCGGTCAGAGGGAATGCGTTTGGGAACGCGTTTAGAAAAGCAGCTCAAGAGAGTAGAGCTGATTACTTTCATGAGCTGTTTGAGTCTTCTTGGATCGTTTTGGATGCTTCTGCGGTTAACTCTTTCATGATTAGATTAACTGAGAAGCTTTGATATTACGACTTCAAAGGTATTCGATTCACTGTGTGTTTTTTTTATCTTTTACAGTTCTCTCAGTGTTTTTATCACCATTGTTTGCAATTTTACGAGCCTGTGTAATAGGCAAGAAACTGTTATCATCGATCTTGTAACTTGTTTACTTCAAATAACCATAGAGAGTTTTTATGTGAAAATGATTTGTCTTTTGACTCATTTGGTGTCAAGTGAAACAAAGTTTCAAACACGTCCTATGTCAAGAAACTCCATTTGATGAAAACATCTGAGGGAACAGTCTTGACAAGATACACGCAGAGACACAAGACAAGACCATAAGACGAAATGGGTTTGGCTTAAATCTTCAAAGACAACATCCTTGAAATTCTTAGAGAAATTAGTCAGCTCAAAAATGCAGAGTAACGACCACAGAATCAAAGGTTGTGTAGTAATACAGCAACGGCTTGACATTTTGTGATACAAAAAACTCAAGAGTTTAGAGTTTAAAATGTCAAGCTGTTGCTGTATTACTACACAACCTTTGATTCTGTGGTCGTTACTCTGCATTTTACAAAAAACTCAAGAGTTTAGAGTTTAAAATCCCAACAGAAACAGCTGAGAGTTTCTCATCTTTTGGCTTCTTCAGGAGTAAGCTTCCTCCTAAAGCTGTGGTCAGTGCAGTGGATGTCATCAATGAAGCTCTCAGTAAACCAATAGCCTGCATTAGTGTCAGAATTTCAATACAATCGAGTATTTTTTTCCAGAACAAAATATAGGATTAGAGAACACACCTCTGTTTTGCTAATGTTGATTACATGCTCCTCAATGTCATCCAAGTCCACATTAAACTTCTTCAACATGCAAAGAGCTGAAGATAGTTTGTAGCTGAGATAGTAAGATCATCTGAGATCATGTACGTTGTCCCTCTCCTCACAAGCCCACTGCTACTTTGAGTGGTTGATTCTGCACTTCCATCATAGTTTGGATACACAAGTTTCAAATCATAGATTTCAGAGTTCCATGTCACTGTAAACGGACTGGGAATTTCGCTACAAACACCAAGCAGCGGTGACTGAAAACCATAGTAACTAGGAAGCATAGATGTGTAAGTCGTTGATACATTTGTGTCTTGGCTAGAGCTAGAGCTAGAGCTCAAGCTCTTCATGCTTTTGCATAAGTTGTCAATGCATCCTACTTCTACATTGTTTCCGGTTAATTCCCACACTGATTCCAAGGGAACAGCCAGGAAAATGAGTAGTAAATCCACAAAGTCTTTCCCGCTTTCGGCGTAAAGAACCTTCTTGTCTTGCTTCCTAACAAATAGAGTCACTGAGAGTTGTTGTTCTTCATTTGATTCTTCTGCTTTACCTCCTTCTTCCACATCGGCTAAGCTTGGCATGTTATGCGTTTTTGTAATGATACATGAACTCGGTTTCATCAAGAACACATCAGTCAAGGGAGTATCCGAAGAGAATAAGCATTCCAGCAATGCTAGTATCTAGTTTTGGATTTCAATACTATCAGAAAAGCAAACAATAATGGCATGTAAAGAAATAAATTGACTAAACCTTTACTTGATCATGAAGAAATTTATTATCTTATAGTGATTATTACTTTATGAGTATAAGCATTTTCATAAAAAGAAAATGTAGTTACCTCTTTGTGACCAACGTCTACGAGCATCTCATCAAGCTTTTCAACATCTGAAAAACCGAGTTCTCTAAGTGTCTTCAGGGTGAGAGAAATGGAACTAAACCCAACTTTCATATTGTCTAAAACGATGAAAGACTTCTTGTCGCTGACAAATATTTCCTCATGATCACCTTCACTTAATCTATACTTATCGGTCATAAACTTGCCACAACTGCATTTTAAAGAGGAGAAGTTACAATAAGACTTGGAACATGACTCCACTAATCCCAAATCCGGGCACGTATAGTAATTCACGACCGCCGTGTTGTCAAAGTTAAGCCCTTTGCATTGCCTCTCTTTGGCATGGAGTGGATATAGAAGGATATGCTTACAAGCCTCGGTCAAGAAATCATCGTTGCTCATATCAACAACACTTTTGTAGAGATTGTTGAAACAACCTATTGTAGTACTAGTAGCTTCGGCGTCTTGAGAGTTTTGATGATTCTGCTGGTCATGTTCCTTCAGCAACCTCACAATGGTACCCATTGGTAGTGTCAAGAAACTAAAGAGCACATCAACAAAATCTTTGTCAACCTCAGCTAAGACAACCTTGTTTTTCTCCTTGTGTACAAGCAGTTTCAACCTAAAAGTTGCCATTGAAAACACAATCAGGAATAGTGGTAACCAAAATTTCTTCAAGTCGAAAAGATTTTCTGTTTATTTCATTGACGGCATAAGCCGAAATATGGAGACATGTTACACAATTGACCTAGCTTCCTCAAAGATTTACATAGTTACACAAACAAGGAAATGTATATAGTAATAGACTAATAGTACGAGAGATATTACACAAATCGATAAATTAATGATTGGTCGGTCTTTCACTCATTTGGTGAGTGATTTGGTCGTTGACTCATTTCCCAAAGCTTTGAAAACTCCATTTATATGAAAGCTTTGAAAACTCCATTTATATGAAAACATCTGACATTTGCACCAAAAAAAAAAAATATATATATATATATATATATATGAAAACATCTGACCAACAATCTTTTGTTTAGAGTTTTATGATAAGATACACACATAGACACAAGACAAGACCCTAAAACGAAATGGGTTTGGGCTAAAATCCTCAAAATTTGTACAGAACAAAAGAAATAAACATAAATAACTTCAACAAAGACTACTCCAAGTCTTCAATAATCAATTCAGTTCCCTCTAGTCTAACCCAAATTTTTGAATTAAAAAAAAAGGAAAAAGAGAAGTGATCAGACTCGTGAAGCAAAATCTTTATGGCGACGATAGAAAGATTGAGAGACAAAATGGGGCTTAGAGATTTGTCTATCTTCTTATCTGGAGGCTCTCTTTCTCCACAGGGTTGTTCCACGGTTGATCTCCTGACCTTCTCCAGACAACCTCAGGAGATGCAAGAACTGGCTCTCGTTGTGACCTGATGTTGCAGAGCCATTTGTCCCACCAATCTCTGAGGTGGTGGTGGTGGTGAGTGAATCCACCACGTCGTCTTGTTGACATTCTCTTCTGTAATCCAGAGTTATGACCTGAAGCTCATGCGTGTCTACAATTTCTTGAGGTATGCTCTGCCATTAACCAAGACACAAGATCATATGATTATCACTCAAATTCTAACATTTTTCTTTAAAAACTTGTAAACTCGATGACTCACCTCAAGAACCCATCCAATATAGGTGACATTATTGACATGCTGGTTCATGTCAAGATCAGCTCGTCTAGGCTGCAAAAAACATGATTTACAAAAGTCTTTAAAGAAATGTTGAAAAGCCTATAAGATGGAGAAAGAGTCATATAATTCTAACTTTTGTGTACCTTAAGCCCAATCATTGAATACTGAGATGGATCTTCGAGTTTAGGAATCTTCTTCAAGCTTCTGTTATTCTCCTCTGGAAATGCTAATCTACAACAAGATACACACAGAACAAACTAGTTTGGCATTCATGACCATAACAACGATTTAATTGACCGCAAGAAGAAACAAAGTGTCCCTTTTTTTACCGCGGTTCTTGAGGACAGAACACCAAGTACTCGTCCCGAACATCATCGGAAACTTTCTGAAGCCGTCTTGTGTCTTGGTTCATCATCACCCACTTGCTGAAACCATAACACACAACAAATCAAGAAAGGTCATATATCATAAAACCAATGCAGAAAGAGCTGACAAAAGACTGTTGTATACTCTTTTAACAGTCGATAAATTGAGTCAAAACGAGGAAAAAGGAAAAACCTTGTAGCACGGCCAGTGACTTCACCGGTAGCAATGTCCTTAAGAATCCAATCACGCCTTGTTCCAATCCTTCCTTCACTCTGACACCATGTCTCTATCTCAACCACATCACCCCTGTCAACCACCAAATAAACATAAACCTCTCAGAAATATTGCTCATAAACACACACACATATATATACAGATGGATAGATAAAAGAATTCAAAACCAAAAATGATTACCAAGCTGGATATTTGTAGATCTCAATGTGCATTCTTGCAGTGACCCAAATGAGATGCAATTTCCTCATTGTTGGTGTTGTTGCAAACCCATCAGTCGAAAATCCAACGCTTTGTGCATGATTACATCCCACCTCCTATACCAAATTTCATCAAACCAAAAGATTCAACATTTCAAGAATTTAACACTTAACCAGTGACAATTTGACCATCCTATAACGAACTGATGATTATAGAAAAAAACAACACATGCGTGAAACTCGAGAAGACAAAACCAATGATTCGAATCAACGAGAGAGAGAGAGAGAGAGAGAGAGATCACACAAAAAAACGTGGAATTGATCTCGTAAAGTTTTGGTTTTTCAGAGCCAATTTTCGAAACGAATCTACAATCTAAAAGACCCAATTTACTGACCTGCAAAAGATTAGCAACGGTTTCGACGGTGGCGGTTTTGTTACTTCCAACTTCATAGGATCTGACGATGAACTTCTCCTTGTACGATAAACCATCTTCCGTCAAGCTACCCAATCGGAGCCGATCCGCGAGAGTACCCGAACCTTGCTCTGCTTGAACCACGCTTCCTTGATCGGTAGATGCAATCGCTCTCAGAGGATCCAAACCGGTTTTTCTCAGGTGAGAGCAAGAGACAGAGGAGACGTTTCTCCGATGTACCGGATCCGAATGCGACGAGAAGGAGAAGAAGCAGCTCTGTGATAACTTCTCAGTCACATTACACGAAAGCTTCAACATTTTTCGAAGAATTTTCCGAAATCGAAGAAAATGGGAAACAGAGAAGAGAGACGAGAACGAGAAGCTTCGGTTTTTTTTTTTAAAGGTTAATACTTTGAATCTGTAAGTGTCCGATGGGTCCGAGGTGAAGAGAAGAAGAAAGACAAAAGTCACAAAAGGAATTTGAAAGTTTGCCACTTGATTGAGTCTGATATTACGATTGTGCCATCGGGGAATGCCATTGTTGGCCAATTGTCAAAGAAGTAAATTAAAACCTGGCTCAGTTGGCTTGCTTTGGCCTTTGTGGTCTCTGTCTGCAAATCGGAGCACGTGTCTTCGCTGTGTTCTTGGTTTAATCACGTGACTTGATTTGTCATTTTTGTAAAGACTTTTTCTTCTTCACATGTTCGTTGAGATTTTTTCTTCTTCTTTCATTCTCTTACGCATCATCATTAACAATTCAATTTTTGTTTTTTTGGTTCTACCATCTAACCAACAACTGTACACCAACTATGTCGGACGATTCAACCTATATCACACGATTTACGGAAATAAATTAAAGTCCAATAGTTATTTTGTGGAGAATGGAGTGTAGAAAGAAACCAAATGATGAGTAACTGGAGGAAATGAAAATAAAAGTTGTATATTTGAAAAATATAACATGCTATTTTTTGTTTGTTTAAGTGTAAATTTTTTTAAATAGCATGTTATATATATATATATAAATTTTATTTTTTAAATGCCAAATGAATATATTTTAAAATATACATGTTATAAAATAAAGCATTACATTTTGTCCCCACTTTTTACCTCTTGGTGTTAAATGCTAATAGCATTCTAAACCCTTGTCATTTATCTAAATAAACCTGTTTCTTTACCATTTGGCATTTTCAGTCTAAAATGTTTTTGGTAAACCATCGACCTAAAACCGTGTTTGCAAGTGTATTATTTTTTAAGAAAGCGATTGGATCCACTAACTCAAAACAGTTAAAAGGTAAAACTACTTCCCACAAGAAGAATGAATGATTTAAATATGAATGATAACAAAAAAAACAACAACATTTTTGTTACTCGAAATCATCAGGATACAATCTGAAAGATACATTTTCCCGTAAAAGCAGAAATAGAGAAATAAATTATTCCGGCTCATTCTTTTCATATTTGTTCATACAACTTTTAGTGGATTGAGTGTAAGTATTTTTATTCTTAACCATACATGTCGACAGAAAACATTTTGACATCATTGTTCAACCATTTCCATTACTTATTAGACTATAATCATTAGACAACCAAACAATATAATTACCAAATAATTCATAAATTCCAATCTTACTGTTTCGAGTTTTCCAAGTCTGCCAATACTTTGTTTGTCAAAAGTCTTCCAGTATTCAAACCTTTCGAAGTTTAGGTATGCCATAATCAAACCATGAATCATATTATATATATACGTCGTTACGGTAGGTCACCATACAACTTGTCTCCACTCCAGACAAGTTTTTCTTGCGTCAAAAGAAAAGTTTTTCTTCTCCCAGAAAAAAAACCCCTAAAGAGCAAAACTAAATCCGCCTCTAAGTCTCATCTAAAAGACCCGAAATTACTTTACTTTCACGAAACAGCAAACCTAATAAACAAAATACCAATCATCACAACTGAATCTAAGTTGTCACTTGTCAAGTCTCTTCCTTGTTCAATCTGCCGAAGGATCTTTCTGCGAATATTTTCTGTTCCTGAGCTTTCTTCTTTGCTATGGCTTCTTCGTCGAGGATTTGTATAGGAGACCATTCAGGCAACTTGATCGAATCCATGTCACGAAAGCTCTCTAACATTGGCTTTGCTCTAAGGGAAGCATAATCATAAGCTGTGCCCATAGCAGCAAACATCATAGAGTAGCGAAATGCACCATGAGGACCTCCTGTCAAACACAGAGCTTAATAACTTGAAGAGACATTCATGAAAAAGATTCATTCCAATTGACTCAGGCAAAATCTTCATGCAGTTTCACAAAGATTCAGATAGAGAATGAGGAAGATACAGAAATGTTAACACTCTGTGACATATTCACAAAATCGAACCTTGAATTCGTCCAAGCAAAGCACCACTGAAAAGTCCTCCAATAACAGAGTTCATCAAATCATCTTGCTCTGATCTTCGGGTTATTCTCACAAACTCACGAGCTCCTACCAAAAGATTGCGACAATCACAAAATGTTCAGAGTAACGCGACAGTCCACTTCTTTTGACAAGATTGAAACAAACACACTCAGGTTTCAATCAAAGAAGAGACTTAGGTACCGCAATAGCAACCAGCGACGATAGCGAAGTTAGTAGCGTAGATAGTTGGAATGTTGGGATGAGCTTTCCTGTGTTTTGACAATAAACCAGCTCCTCCACCAATCACTCCTGCAACATGAACATCATCTTCTCAGATATCAACACAATGCTACATTTCCTTTCATGTTCTATTACTTATGCTATGAATAATCAAATGCCAAAACCAAAAGGCTCTCTCTCTCTCTCTCATCTTCATTAGACAGCAAGAAAATTGGTGAAAATTCACGAGAGACACACAAGTTAGTGCAAAATCTCAGAGGAAGCTATGGAATCTAGCTGATGGAGCTTGTGAAAAACCCAGAAAGCCAAATTTGCTAGTAACTGATACAAGGACGACGAATTGTTTGGTTCTCTACTTATGGAAACTCGATTTACTAAGAGCATCAACCAAAATCTATGCGATTTCCGATGATTTTTCAACCAAAATCTCAAACTTCTTCTTCGACAATCTCAGTCGAAACTGATGAAATCTAAGTGATGGAGGTGTGAAAAATTAAGAAATCGAGCTTCTAGCGAACGCGATAAACCTGCTTGGTTCTATTTCTGAGGAATTTGTGCAACCAGAAAATCTCAAATGCTCCCAGAGATGAACAAAATTTGTAACAGTGAAGCCCAGAGATAGAAGAAGCAGCGAGAGAGAAATGCGAAACCTGCGAGAAGAGTAGAGACCAAGACACGCTTCGTCGGAGTAGATGGCTGCACAATCGGCGTCGGGGGAGACAACGGCTGACTCGTTCGTCCTGGGAATTTCCGATCACCGGACGCCATTGGAAGTCACTCTTTTCCACTCGAAACGCACATTTCCAATTTCACTGCGGTATTATGGATTCGGGTCGTTCCAAACCCGAAACTGAACCCTAACCCGAACCCGAACCGATAATAACTCTTACTTAATTGAGAGATGAACCCTGAAGGATGCTTTCATTTCACATTGTCCCCAGAATTTTTCAAATATTGAAAACTAGCCCTCATGGTTACCTAACTACAGCAACTCTATAAATTAATAATAAACACTATAAATTAATAAACACGATAAATTAATAGGTCCATGTAAAATATGACACAGTTCCATAAAATGATAAGAAAATATTTTTTAAAAACTCTTATATAAAATATGGTCTCAATATCATATTAAAACTTCTATATATCTAAGATATCTAGCTGTTAAAATATGAATCTCTCACACACTATGAAAAACAATATGACAACTATAAAGTAAAAAAAAAATACATTAAAAAACATATCATAAAAACATATAAAAATTAAAAATTAGAAAGTTTTTATTTAATTTGAAGGAAATTTTAAAGGGAGATTATTAATATTGAGTTTTTTTTTCTGAAATTTTTTTTAGATAAAAACCATATATTAATAACTCTAAATTAACAAAATATCAAAATCCTTACATTATTAATACATAGAGTTTCTACTGTATATAATAAATAAAAAGAGAGAGAAGGCAAAGGTAGAAAAAAAGTTACAAACTTTGAAGAATGTCGACAATGTCGGATCTTCCTGAGGATTTGGTAGAGGAGATATTTACTAGGATTCTATTGACATCGCTGAAAGCAGTACGCTCTACTTGCAGAGATTGGAATGCTTTGTCTAAAATTCATATTTTGGGTAAAAGAGCAACAAGTAGTAAGTATTAGGGATAAATATCACACATCGGAAGTTGGAAGGGATCTCAAGTGGTATATAAGGGATGTGGGTCTCTCCACTCATTGCCAATTGGTTTTGAGTTGGAAGCCTATGTAACTTAACATGGTATCAGAGCCCGATCCATACATTCCAACCCGATCCGACCCATAGTTGGTCCAATCATCGACCATGCCCAAAATTGGTGCTGGCGATCCAAGCCCGAACATACCGAGATCGATGGCCAAAGAGTCATCGTCTCGAGGGGGCATATTAAGGATAAATATCCCACATCGGAAGTTGGAAGGGATCTCAAGTGGTATATAAGGGATGTGGGCCTCTCCACTCATTGCCAATTGGTTTTGAGTTGGAAGCCCATGTAACTTAACAGTAAGCAGTTTCTAGGGTTTACGCCGAGGGATTTTAGAGTTTGTTCAATGAAATTCAATCTCCAAGGATTCCACAACGATAACGACATTGTTGATCCATCTATAAAGATAGTAAGTGTACTTGGCCACGTTGAAATATCTAAACTCTTTCACTGCCACGGTTTAGTGTTATGCGTTACCAAAGACCACCCGGGGCTCTTGATGTGGAATCCCTACTTGGGGCAAACCAGGTTGATCCAACCCATGAACTCTTTCAGCAAAGATGACAAGTATGCTTTCGGATACGACAACAATAAAGGTTACCACAAGATCTTGAGGGGTACTTATGGCAGAAAAGTCGGCTATCTCTGGTCGGAGATATATGATTGTAACTCTGATTCATGGAGGGTTCTTGATGTCAATTCAGACTGGGCGATGATAAGTTATCTAAGCATCGTGTCTCTCAAGGGAAACACTTACTTTCTTGCTCAAGCAAAGAATGGTTCTTTACATTGTTTTGATTTTACAGCAGAGAGATTTGGACCGCTTCTTCCTCTTCCTTTTCAGGCGTACGTTTCTGGTTCAGGATCTGTGGCTTTATCTTGTGTTACAGATGAGCAGCTTGGTTTTTTATATCGACCCAATGATGAGACAATAGTGATTCAGATTACGACTAAGATTGGTCCCGATTCAGTATCGTGGAGCAAGTTCTTGGAAGTGGGTACTAAACCCCTCCCTTGTCAATCTTGGACTTTCTTTACTGATGAGGCCGAAAAGAAGGTCCTTATTGTTTCCAGTTTCCGAAATTCTAGAAAGACATGTTGCTACCAAACAGCTTACATCATTGGAGAAGATGGATACTTCAAATCTGTGGATACTGGAGAAACTCGGATTAGCGAAAAAGTTATGTACTATAACCCGGTTGTGTTCTCTTCTTATGTTCCAAGTTTAGTGCAACTAAAATAAAAGAAACGAAAGAGATTACAGCCATTTGCAGAGTATCATCTCCTTTACTTTATAGTAGTCAATTATTATATTAGGGTCGAAGTCGGCTTTTGCAAGATTTATTTAATTTTGCCTCTTTTCAATGGTTATGTCAGTTCTTAAATGTGATTCTTAATGATAATTTTTTTTCTTCACTTAGATTTGGTTATAATCTTTCTTTTCTCTCAAGTGTTTGTGAAATACAGAGAGCCACCGTGTTTATCGTGTCTGCGAAAGATGCAAACACAAAAAACCTTTTTATTATGCTCTATAATTTATTCAATGGGTTTGTTTTTCATTGAGGGAAGAGTTTGTATCGGTCTCATTCGCGTTTCGTGTTTTTTGATTGATTATGCAATTTCTATGCAAGTATTCAGTTTGCCCATGCAGAAATTTGTGTTCCCACAAATCTCTTGTACTTAACTGACTAAAACATAGTTTGACATGGTCCTGTCTTTACCATCTGAGAAAAAAAGATGCACCAACGCAGTTTCTCTACTTGGATAATCTCCATTTGCAAAGTCACAATTTTTTTTGTTTTCTCCATCTGTAGCTGATCTAACTACAGAGTGAGGTAATTAATTATCTTGGCTTTGAAACCCTAATGAATGTGTGGCGTTTGAGTTTCTTTAACTCTTAACTGAGAAATGAACCCTGAAAGATTCTTTAATTTCACATTATTCCAACAATATTTCAAAAACAAAAAATGGCCCCTTCATGGTAACCCTAACTATATAATAGAAAAATAGAGAAGGCAAAGGTAGAAAGAAGTTACAAACTTTGAAGGATGTCGACAATGTTAGATCTTTCTGAGGATTTGGTAGGGGAGATATTTTCTAGGGTTCCATTGACATCGCTGAAGGTAGTACGATCTACATGCAAAAACTGGAATGCTTTGTCTAAATTTCATATTTTGGGTAAAAAAGCAACAAGTAAGCAGTTTCTAGGGTTTAAGCGGAGGGATTTTAGAATTTGTTCAATGAAATTCAGTCTCAAGGAATCTACAACGATGAAGATATTGTTGATCTATCTATAAAGCAAGTAAGTGTATTTGACCAAGTTGAGATATCTAGAGTCTTTTACTGCTATGGTTTATTGTTATGCGTCACCAAAGACAACCCCAGACTCCTGGTATGGAATCCCTACTTGGGGCAAACCAGGTGGATCCAACCCTTGAACGCTTTCAAAACACTTGAAGATTGTGTTCTTGGATATGAGAACAACAACGGTTACCCCAAAATCTTGAGGTTTTATTGCATAGAAGACAACCATATATAGTTGGAAATCTATGATTTTAACTCTAGTTCATGGAGGGTTCTTGATGTCACTCCCGAGTGGGATTTACTGAATTATCAGAGAATAGTGTCTCTGAAGGGAAACACTTACTTTCTTATCCGATTCCTAATAATAAAGGACACAAAGATGGAATTTATCAACGTGTTGCTAAGTTTTGATTTTACAGCAGAGAGATTTGGACCGCGTCTTCCTCTGCCTTTTCATAAATCGTCCGTGAATTGTTTAGAACCTGTGACCATATCTTGTGTTAGAGAAGAGCAGCTCGTTTTGTTATATGAACGCTTTGATGGGATGATGGAGTTTTGGATTACGACTAAGATTGATCCCAATTCAGTATCTTGGAGCATGTTCTTGAAAGTGCACAAGAGATCCCTCCCTTCGTTTCTGCCTTACGTTGATGCTGGGACTTTCTTTATTGACGAGGCCCATAAGAAGGTCGTTGTTTTTTCAAAAAGCCCCGAATGTGAAACAACCTCATGTTGGTACCCAACAGCTTACATCATTGGAGAAGATGGATACTTCAAATCTATGGGTATTCGAGAAGCTGGTATTAGAAAAAAATGTGGATATTATGTCCCATTTGTGTTCTCTTCTTACGTTCCAAGTTTAGTGCAACTAGAAGAAAAGAAAGAGATTAGCAACTAGTTCCATTTGCACTACTTGTATCTTCTCCTTTTGAACAAGTACAATTTTTAGTCAATCGTACTAAATATTGTGTTTTGCTATTTACCAGCTAGTAGATTATAGGGATTTTGCATGTATTTGGTTTTGGTATCTGACAAATGTACATTTGTGAGAGATTGTTACGAGACTAGCTACTCTTTGGTCAGAGTATTGGATGATTCTAAAATCATATTCTTAGCTTTGCGGATATAGTCAGAAGTTGATTCAATAATATTGGTGATAACATTTTGAAATCGTGTATGCTAAAGACAAACACAAAAGCCTTTTAGTTCTGCATTGTGGATTTAAGGGTTGATTCAGCACCAGCCGCCTGGAACCGTATATAGATTTAATATTGATGTTTCGTTCATCCAACTAAAATCAATCTTCTTCCAAAATTATTCTTCACTGATTTAAACTAGGTCCTTTTATGTCTTCTGTCTTACGCTAGTGTTTCAAAATTTGCCACAACTTTCCTTTTTTTTTCTCCAATTCTCCCTAATATATCTCAAATTCTAGAAGCTCTGTATTAATAGATGATCTCTTTTTTATCGTAATAGAAATAAGTTAGAAGAAGGAAGAGGTTTTTGTCGTTACTTAGAACGATCGTACGGTAAGACCTACAATATATTCGATAAAGAGAGAAGGCAAGCTTGAGAAAAAAAGTTACACAGACATTAAAGAATGCCAACAATGTCCGATCTTCTTGAGGATTTGGTAGGGGAAATACTCGCTAGGGTTCCATTGATATCGCTGAAAGTAGTACGATGTACTTGCAAAAATTGGAATGCTTTATCAACAGCAAGGAAACAGTTTCTAGGGTTTATGCTGATGGATTCTAGAGTTTATTCAATGAAACTTGATCTCCAAGGAATACGCAACCATGGATACATTGTCAATCCATCTATAAACCAAGTAAGTGTATTTGCCCAAGTTGAGATATCTAAAGTCTTTCACTGCCATGGTTTGTTTTTATGCGTCACCAAAGACCAAAAGCTCGTGGTATGGAATCCCTATTTGGGACAAACCAGGTGGATCCCACGCTTGAGATCGTTCAGCATATATGACATGTTGTATGGTCTCGGATACGACAACTACAGAAACTACCACAAAATCTTGAGGTTCGGTAAAAGAGAAAACGACTTTTCGTGGACGGAAATCTATGATTGTAACTCTGATTCATGGAGGGTTGTTAATGACACTGCCGACTGGGACATGCATCATCAAAGCAGCATGTCTCTGAATGGAAATACTTACTTTATTGCTCGAGAGAAATTAACAAAGGATACCGAGGTAGAAAAGAACGATGCGTGGTCTTTACTTGGTTTTGATTATACAGCAGAGAGATTTGGACCGCTTCTTCCTCTTCCTTTTCAATCCTACGCTCATCATAGTTCAGAATCTGTGGCTTTATCTTGTGTTAGAGATGAGCAGCTCGCTTTGTTATTTCAACGCAAGGATGGGATGATGGAGATTTGGATTACGACTAAGATTGATCCCAAGTCAGTATCTTGGAGCATGTTCTTGAAAGTGGATACAAGTCCGCTCCCTCATTTTCCGGGTCTCGTTATGGCTGGGACTTTCTTTATTTGTGAGGAGAAGAAAGCCGTTGTTGTTTCCAGTTTCCGCAAAAATAAGGATTGTTGCTACAAAACAGCTTACATCACTGGAAAAGATGGATACTTCAAATCTGTGGATATCGGAGAAGCTCGGATTATAAACGGATCTACATGCATGTCAGTTGTTAAACGTGATTACCGCTTAAGCTTTTATCTTGTGATAACATATTGAAATCTTTAAGATACAAATCGAAGCAGAAACCGGTTTGAGTTCAATCAGTTTCTCTTAAATGAGAAAACTGATAAAGGTCAAACCAGATCCTTCATTACATAATCAATACTGTAAGACATAATTTCTCTTACTAAATTTAACAGAATCAGTACCTAAACAAAGTCGTCAAACTCATCTGGTAACAACCCTTCAAAAAGTGCCTTCATCTCTTCATCAGTAAAGTATTCTGCAGGCAAATCATCATTTGAAACTGTCAGAAACCAGCAGATTCTGATCCTTCTCTTCAGTGTTGTTGCTGTTGACAAGATCCATCTCTTGATCATCATTCAAGCTTCCTGCAGGTAAATCATCATCTGGTAACAACCTTTCAAGAAGATCCATCATCTCTTCGTCATCCAAGTATTCTGCAGGCAAATCATTATCGAAACTGTCAGAAACCAGCAGAGCCTGATCCTTCTCTTCAGTGTTGTTGTTGACAAGATCCATCTCTTGATGATCAGTCAAGTTTCCTGCAGGTAAATCATTGTTGGAACTGTTAGAAATCGGTAGAATCTGATCATGATCTTGAGTGTTTTTGAGAAACTCGTTGAGATTTGCAGGTAAATCATCATCCAACACAAAGATCTCTGTATCTGTTTTGAGACAGCCATCAGGAACTGTGAGATTCGACTGAAGAAGATTTAGGGTTTGATTCACCTCTTTAACCGTGTTCTGTAATCCCTTGGCATCACTTAACAGAGTCAAAATTGACCCAATCGCTTCCTTGATTTCTTCAGCATTCTGGGATCTATCAAGTCTCTTATCATCCCACTATTGAAATTAAACTTGATTTTGATCAAGGTTTAATTTTGGGTCCATAAACAAATTATTATTAAACCCAAAATTAGGCCCAAGTTCTAGAACTCTCTAGAAACATCATAAGAGGTCATCACTTCCTCAAATTTTCTAGAGAATTCTACTAGATAACTCTCTAGATATTTATGTAGAACTTTCTAGTTCTTGTAAGACAAGAAATCTAGATATTATGTTAGAGAGTTCTAGAGATTAGGATAAACTTGTAAGATAATTTGTAGAAAGTTGTAGAAGAAGAAGAAGAAATATCTAGGACCTAAGGAGGTTATAGAAGAGTGTAGAAACTTTGTAAGTAGATTTGGGAGGCTATAAATACCTCCTCACCCCCTCATTTGTAAATGCACAAGAAATTGAACAAGTTAATAAAGAGTGTTCTAAAGCTAAGTTCTCTCTTGTTCTTCTTAAAAGTCTTTCAAGTATTCTCTTGTGTTCTTCCATATTTCTCTTCATACTTAGAGGGTTTATTGTTTCTTTCGGGTTTCTCGGGTATTACGGTCTTGGGCTAGTGCTAAGCACTATCGGTGCTGGTTTCTCTACATGGTATCAGAGCCATTCTAATCTTGTGCTCATCAAGATCGGGATTTAGGAGAACTCGGGTTTACTCTAAGTATGGAATCAATGGGTCGTGTTGTTGGATTGGGAATGGAGATCTTAAACCAATCTAACTACCGGTTATGGAAGTCATGTATGGAGTCATACTTGGTGAGTGAGGACTTATGGGATGTCGTCGGCGGCAGTAGCACCACACCACCAATGGGAGCTGCTGCGACAGCGGAAGCGACAAAGGAATGGACACGGAAGAATGCCAAGGCGGAGTTTGCATTGAAGAGGTCAATATCCTCGGGAGTATTTGAGCATGTCTCAAGGTGCACATCCGCTAGTTCCATTTGGCAAGCGTTGGACCAACTGTTCAACAAGAAGAATGAGGCTCGTCTACAACTGTTAGAGAACGAGTTGGCGAATGCGAAGCAGGGGGAGTCTTCAATCTCAGAGTTCTTCATCAAGGTAAAGAACCTTTGCTCTGAGATTAACACTCTTAATCCGGAGGAGTCTATTTCGGAAGCTCGGTTAAAGCGGTCTATTATTCGTGGTTTACGACCCGAATATACACCGTTTGTGACTTCCGTTCAAGGATGGGCTACACAACCTTCCTTGGAGGAGTTTGAAAATCTGCTAGCTTCGCAAGAATCCTTAGCCACGCAAATGGCGGGAGTCAAAATCCATGATGACTCGGGGAGCGCTTTTGTAGCTCGGAGGCAACAGAGCTACAAAGGAAAAACCAAGAATGATGGTGTAAAGAATAATGATGGACGGGAAAGATCTTCTACGGGAGACAAGAAGCAGTTCAAGTGTTACCGGTGTGGAAAGCTTGGGCATTTCAAAAAGGACTGTCGGGTCAAGCTGAAGGAAACCAATATGGCGGAATCAAAAAGTCATACTGAAGACGAAGATTGGGGGAAATGTTTCACGGTGGAGGCTGCATCTTCAGGTACATCCACAACTAAAAATCTTGGAAATGATTGGATTGTGGATTCGGGTTGTAGCCATCATATTACCGGAAACGAGAAGTTATTTTCTAGTCTTCAACGTCATGACGGGAAAGAAGCTATTATCACTGCGGATAATTCAATCCACCGGGTTGAGAAGGAAGGGACTATTGTTATTGAAGGAGAAGAAGGAGGCCCAATCACTCTCAAGAACGTATACCATGTCCCTGGAGTTAAGAAGAATCTTCTTTCCGTGGTGAATGCGGTGGACTCAGGTAACTACGTTTTATTTGGACCAAAAGACGTTAAATTCTTGAAGAATATTCAAGAGTTAAAGGCGGACGTAGTTCACACCGGAGCACGGGTTAAAGATCTTTATGTCTTATCGGCCTCAAATTCGTACATTGAGAAGATGAGTACGAATGATAATGCTTTTATTTGGCATGCTAGGCTTGGCCATATAAATATGACTAAGCTGAAGGCTATGGTGAATAAAGATCTGGTTAATGGGCTCCCAAAGTTGAAGATTCAAGATGAAGGAAAGCTTTGTGAAGGTTGTCAATATGGAAAATCACATAGACTTCCATTTGACAATTCTACTTCACGATGCAATGCTCCGTTGGAGAGGATCCATAGTGATTTGATGGGTCCGACGAGAACATCCTCCTATTCCGGGTTCCGCTACATGCTGTTGTTCGTTGATGATTACTCACGGTACACCTGGGTATACTTTGTGAAGGAAAAGTCAGAAGTATTCTCCAAGTTTCAAGAATTCAAGGTTACCGTGGAAGGAGAGTTGGGTCGGAAAATCAAGACCTTAAGGACGGATAATGGAGGGGAGTTTATGTCAAACGAGTTTCTCTCTTTCTGCCGAAAGCATGGTATCAAGAGAGAATTTTCATGTCCATACACACCTCAACAAAATGGAGTAGCAGAAAGGAAGATAAGGCATCTAAGTGAGACGTGTAGAAGCTGGCTACATGCGAAGAATTTGCCTAAGGCTCTATGGGCAGAAGGGATGAGATGTGCAGCCTATGTCATCAATCGGATGCCGCTTAGTCCAAATAATATGAAGTCTCCTTATGAGATGGTTCATGGGAAGAAGCCAACAGTGAAACATCTCAGGATATTTGGATCTATCTGCTATGTCCATGTGTTCGACTCTCAAAGAACCAAGCTGGAGGCAAAGGCGAAAAAGTGCATCTTTGTCGGCTATGATGAACAAAGGAAGGGGTGGAGGTGTATGGATCCAGAGACACACAGATACACTGTATCTCGTGATGTTGTCTTTGATGAAGTGTCTTCATATTACGGATCTCCTCAAGTCTTGGTTGAGCAAGATGGTGCGGGCTCACTTAAAGACGATGAACCAGCTGCTCAGATACCAAGTGATGGTGGAATTTCTGAACCAGAGATGCAAGGTGAAAGGGGGAGCACTAACCAAGAGGAAGAGGAGGAGGAAGATCATGGTTCCTTGGCTAATCAACGACCAAAACGGGACATCGTTAAACCTGCTCGGTACAGAGATGAAAGGTTTGTTACTACTTACTCATGCTACTTTGCATCTCCTTTTGATGAAGAAGAACCATCATCTTATGATGAAGCAAAAGGAGTTAAAGAGTGGGAGACCGCAATGAAGGAGGAGATGGATGCTCTAAAGAAAAATGAAACTTGGGATTTGGTTCCAAAACCCAAGGATGTCCAACCCGTCTCATGCAAATGGGTGTACCGGATCAAGCGTAAGAGGGATGGAAACATTGATAGACACAAAGCAAGATTGGTTGCTCGGGGATTTTCTCAGAAGTATGGAGAAGACTATGATGAGACTTTCAGTCCAGTGGCGAAGATGACTACGGTACGTACACTCTTATCTTTAGCTGCAAGCTTTGGCTGGAAGTTATGGCAGTTAGATGTGAAGAACGCTTTTCTATACGGAGAACTTGATAAAGAAATCTATATGGAGCAACCACTTGGTTACATATCACAAGAGCATCCCGATTATGTTTGCAAGCTAAAGAAGGCTTTGTATGGGTTAAAACAAGCTCCAAGGGCCTGGTATGGAAAGCTTGCTCAGTTTCTTCAGTTTTGCGGTTACTCTCCGTCGAACTCTGATCCGAGTCTGTTCTTCAAGAAGAATGGAGGAGTCCACGTGGTAGTCCTTCTTTATGTGGATGACTTGATAATTACCGGGAATGATGAAGCGGAAATTGCTCGTCTGCAAGAGGATATGTCGATAAGGTTTGAGATGAAGATGTTGGGTGAGCTGAACAACTTTCTTGGTTTGGAGGTTGAAAGGATGAAGGATGGAATATTCATCGGCCAACATAGCTACGCAAGAAGGATTGTAGAGAAGTTCGGGGTACACGAAGGAAAGACACGTACTACTCCGATGGATGCGAACATCAAGCTGAAGCGCGATGAAGGATCCTTGCTACCCGATCCTCGGCCTTATCGTTCTCTTGTGGGAAGTCTTCTATACTTAACCATTACAAGACCTGACATTTCCTTCGCGGTTGGTCTTGTAAGTCGGTTTATGCAGTCACCAAGGAAGCCACATCTAGAAGCGGCAAAGAAGATCTTGAAGTATGTGAAGACAACTCTTGGCATGGGTCTAATGTACAAGTACAATGCCAAGGTCTCTCTCTATGGCTTCACGGATGCTGACTTTGGTGGAGATCTAGATGGTCGAAAATCAACTTCGGGCTTTGTGTTCTTGTGTGGAGACACAAGCGTTTCATGGTGCAGCAAGAAACAAGCAACGGTGTCGCTGTCTACCACTGAAGCGGAGTATAAAGCTTCGACGCTCGCAGCCCAAGAGTGTATTTGGCTTCGAAGGCTTCTTGAAGATTTGTTTGAGCCAATCAACAAGCCGGTTGCCATATATGGAGATAACCAAAGTGCTATCAAGCTGGCTAACAATCCGGTGTTCCATGCAAGGACGAAGCATATTGAGTTGGAACATCACTTCATACGGGAGAAGGTGCTTGATGGAACAATTGAAGCTTTGGAGGTTCGAAGTGAGGATAATGTTGCAGATATCTTCACCAAGTCACTACCAAAAGGTCAGTTCGAGTTACTTCGCTCGAAACTCGGGATGGTTGATAAAATCAAGTTTAAGGGGGAGTATTGAAATTAAACTTGATTTTGATCAAGGTTTAATTTTGGGTCCATAAACAAATTATTATTAAACCCAAAATTAGGCCCAAGTTCTAGAACTCTCTAGAAACATCATAAGAGGTCATCACTTCCTCAAATTTTCTAGAGAATTCTACTAGATAACTCTCTAGATATTTATGTAGAACTTTCTAGTTCTTGTAAGACAAGAAATCTAGATATTATGTTAGAGAGTTCTAGAGATTAGGATAAACTTGTAAGATAATTTGTAGAAAGTTGTAGAAGAAGAAGAAGAAATATCTAGGACCTAAGGAGGTTATAGAAGAGTGTAGAAACTTTGTAAGTAGATTTGGGAGGCTATAAATACCTCCTCACCCCCTCATTTGTAAATGCACAAGAAATTGAACAAGTTAATAAAGAGTGTTCTAAAGCTAAGTTCTCTCTTGTTCTTCTTAAAAGTCTTTCAAGTATTCTCTTGTGTTCTTCCATATTTCTCTTCATACTTAGAGGGTTTATTGTTTCTTTCGGGTTTCTCGGGTATTACGGTCTTGGGCTAGTGCTAAGCACTATCGGTGCTGGTTTCTCTACACCCACCAAAACCCTAACCCGAGATCCTTGCGGGCCAAACAAACTCCGATGTCCTCTCTCGTCTGCTTGCTTTCCTCTGGAACAGGAGCAGGACGTTGACCCGTGAGAAACGCGGAGACGATGCCATCGACGGAAGAATGGCCGTAAGAGTAGAAAGAGACGGTTGAGTTGGCAGAAGGAGGAGTCGCCAAAATAGCTATCTGCGCACCAGAGAGAAGACAGAGCTGCGAGGCTTTGCTGTAGAGACCGTAACTCCGTTTCGTGTAACAAGTCGAGAGTGAGTTCTTGATCGCGATCTTCTCGATTTCAATCTTCCGCTTAGTGCCTCCTCTCACCATTTTTTTTTTATGAAAGAAAAGAAACCCTAGTTCTCAAAATTACAGAACGAATTAGACAAGTCGAAAAGAAAGAAAGGTTTTTGTGTGTGTAAATTTGTAGCAACGGGAAGAAGATAACCACTATCTGTCTCGTTTTGCTCTGATATATATATAGGGTTGGGTCGGTGGTGCCTTGGGCCTGAATATTTCCTTTTTTGAGTTTATACCGAACCACCTGAAAAAAACATTAAAATGGAAACAACATCAACCCAGACCGGTTCAATTAAACCAAAACATTTTTTTTTTCAATTAGTGAACGAGTTAAACGTCATTTAATTTAAACCACGCCGAACAAAGATAAACCAGTTTAGTAATTTATTACATACCCAAAAAAAGGAAATATCTTTGTACACTTGGAAAAAGGAAAGATTGGGCAGCCTTGCGTAGCAAGTATCAAAATCTAGAAGAACCTAACGGCTAAATTCAGAAATTAGGGATTCTCAATTTGAATTCTCCGCCGTCGAAGAAATGGAGGATTCCTTTGAAGGAATTCACAGGGAAACATGATGGACTGAAAGAATCGCAGACGACAATGGATTCAAGTTGATTTTCAGCTGCTCTGTTATGATAAGACTCATGGAATGTTTACTGTTTTCTTCTTATTGTTTTTTCCTGTAATCTTGTTGTAGGTATGATGGTTGATATACCATTTGCAACGGTTTAGCTCAGCAAACTGAAGGCTTATCTGACACTTATCACACGTAGTGTAAGTCCATCTTTAGATGAAGGCGTCTCTAGTCTTATGGCTGCGAATGCTTGTTGTATCAATATGTTATTAGTGGATGAAAATTAATACAAGAAGGAATCTTTTTTGCTGTTGAATTCACTATGTAGTACTGTCTCATTCTCATTGAGAGACTAATATATAAGTATGATATTGCTTCAATTTTACTCACTCTCTCTAACCAATTTTTTTGCTTTTACCAAAAATTGTGAATAATTGGAGAGAGAGAGAGAGATAAAAAGGAATGGTGGAGAGTGGAGACAAGTCCTCTTAAGATACCTCTCTCGACTAGTACAATTACAAAGTAAGTTTTTTATGGACAAAGAGATTGAAAAAGAAGACCCATCATGGGTCCAATTAGAAGAAGTAGAAAAGAGAAAGTGAAGAGACAAAAGAGCTAATTATGAGCTGCACTTGAGTACCCATCATGTTTTTTTTTCCCATATGCAACCACTAAGAGAGTCTCTTTGGTTAGTTATCAGTATGAACTTAACTATCTCCCGTGATTGAAGGTGCTAAAGGATAAGATTATTGATGTTGTATGTACACTCATAACTGCAAGAATTAGGACAGTTGAACAGATAATGTCACTGTTTCTGTTTAACTGAAAACTAGTTTCTCTACTCTGGAGATTTGAACATGCTAAATTTTATGATAATCTATATTTCTTAGAACTGTCACAATTTAACTAAATGATGTTGTTTAATCTTCTCTTTAGACCAATTACACTACTTGTTGTAATTGTTATATATGTCTTCTGATAATTTTCTTTATTCATTTTCTTGTCAAGGTAAAGAATAAAAACTTAAAAAGGCAATTAGTGGTGGTTAATGAATTGGTCCAAAGGTAACTTTCAAAAGTTGCTTTTGTTTTTCATTGTCTCTGTTTCTCTCTCTCTCTTTGGCCTCTATCTTATATTCACGCCACACTTGCCTTCCAAATCCTCACTTTTCTTTCTTCTATCTTCATGCTGTGACACAGAAGCAAAGCAAAAGAACAAAAACTTGGCTAAGCATGTCTGAATTTGCCTTGCCATCTCCTCCAGAAGAGAATCCAATCAACAAGAAGATCGGTTTCTCTACTCTTCTCCTCTCTGACTTTCATCTCTTTATCTCATTCCTCCTCTCTCACCCTTTCTATGTTTCTTACATTCTCTTCTTCTCACCTTACATCTTCAAAATCGTCTCTTTCCTCTCACCACTCTTTGTCACCACCACACTCGTGCTTCTTGCCTTACTCAGTACTACTCTGCATTTCAATGACTCGGAGTCCCCTGAAACCCAACCAAGCTTCCTCTTTTCCTTTTGTAGTAAACTCTGCAGTGTCTTGGAAGAAACCAAACTTGATGTCAACGATGAAGATGTTAAGCCCTTGGAGGAACTGGAAGCGTTTAAGATGGTCGTTGAGGCTTTGGAGAGCGAGAGTATGGAGATAACGTTTGTTGACAAATTCTGTAGCCATGAGAGCACAATATCGGAAGCAGTTGAGATCCAACCGCTGAAGTTTGAGGATCCAATGGATTTGGAAAAAGAAGAAGAAACAGAGAAATGTGAAAAGGAAGAAGAAGAAGAAGAAGAAGAGAAAGTCAAGCCAAAAAGTGAGGCTTTCCTCGATACTGGAGAAGGGCAGTATTGGGAAAAACCGACAAAACAAGAATCCAAAGCTCAAAAAGTTGGTCTTGTCGGAGATGGTAATGATGATCTGCCAAAACTGAGCGATTTTCTCGGACAAGTGAAGAAAAATGAAGTGACTGATCAGAAGAAGGAAGAAGACGAAAATGTTTCTCTGAGGAGCTTTGGATCAATGAGGAAAGAGAAAGAATGGAGGAGAACCTTGGCTTGCAAGCTATTCGAGGAACGACACAATGCAGACGTGGGACAAGGCATGGATCATCTTTGGGAGACTTACGAGACCGAAACAGAGAAGAAGCAAACCGAAGAAGAGAAGAAGAAGAAGGAGAAGAAGATTAAGAAGTCGATGATCATGAAGACGAAGAGCATTGAGAAGAAGGAAGTAGTAGTGGAAGAAGAGGAAGAAGATGAAGATGGGATTGATCAGCAGCAATTGTGTTGCCTACAGGCTTTAAAGTTCTCAACAGGGAAGATGCATATGGGAATCGCGAGGCCTAACCTTTTGAAGCTATCTAAGGCTTTCAAAGGTATTGGACGGTTTTACAATAATGCTACTAAGCATTCCAAGAAAGCTTGAAGAAAAGAAGAAATAAACTTTATATTAAATGTCACCCCTCTTTTTATACTATATAAAAGCAATTGCCAATTAGAGATAGTTTGGGGCAAGTTTGTATGCATAAGTTTTTTCATCTCTTTACTGAATCTTACACATTGTGTTTTTATTTTGTTTGTTAAACAGACTCATGCGATGGATCATGGATCCATTGTTTTCTCAAAACTTTGAATATTTTATTATTTACATTTACATTTCTGCAGAAGTATTTTAAGCGAAAATGAAACTAAAAGATACTCTAATTTAATAAGCCCGAAAGAGGGAAAATAAAATAAAACAAAATAATCCCCAAAGCTCTCAGTACTTTTGGATAATTCTCACAAACAATAATCTCAATTCACATTTTTTTTTTTAAACATACTTATAAAAAGAAATATAATTAGGTTAAAGAAGAAGAAGAAAAACAGAAACCCTAGTTAGGTTGTAGAGATGGAGGAAGAGAAAAACATTCCGCAAGAGATTCTAGAAGAGATTCTGGTCAAACTTCCTGTGAAATCGCTTTCACGATTCAAAGCCGTAACGAGAGAGTGGAGAGGAACCATAGAATCAACTTATTTCGTAGAGAAACACGTTTTGTATCAGAAATCTCTAGGAGGAAGCCAAGCGAGCATCATGGCATTATCAATGCAAAAAACAGACGATGGTGTACATGGTCTCCTTCTTGTAGAAAATATTTTGTGTTCAGCCAAAGGAATCATACATGGTTCTCCATATCTGCCCATTAAGGCCTTTCGCAGTTATACTAATTACAAAATCTCGGAGCCTTGCGACGGTATGTTTTGTCTCTACACTAAGAATACTCTTGCCTCCACGAACATGGTTATCATTGTTAATCCTGCCTCCACTAGTCTACGTACACTTCCTAATCCCATCGGTACTATGAACCTCACATAACTCCCAAGTTACCTTTTATCAGTCTTTTTTTTGTTCTTTCTCATAACTAATTAAAGCTTGTTTAATTTACAAATCACGTTTTTTTTTCTTGTAACAGGTCGGTATAAAAAGTATATGTGGTTACAATCTTTGGCAGGGATCGGAAGAGAGAATAGTGTTAGTCGAAGATATAAGCTAGTTTGGTTTTATGAGGTTCCCCAAGTAAACATAGTTACTAAGTGCAAGGTTTTTGCTCTTGGCTCTAATACTTGGAAAGTAGTACATCCGCCTCATTGTCGACTTCACTATTACAACAGTTCTCTAATGCACTTGGATGGAATCATGTATTGCCTCATTAAAACTCACGATGAGATTTGCAATGCTAAGGTACTAGCTTTTGATCTTCACACAGAGAAGTTTCAAACCTTTTCGATTACTCTGGATGTCGGGGAAGGATGTGAGTTAAGCATGTGTGTTCTTAACCATCGCCTATGCGTCTTCAAGAGGTTTGCTGATAACAACGACACTTGTTTCAAAATATGGGGTCTAGATATAAGCAAGACATCTGTGGAAATTATGTATTCCATAGATTTTTCTTGTTTACCGCCAGATGAGATAGAATGGGAAATCGTTCCAATGGCGACAATCAACAATTGTGTTGTCATTTCAAGTAGCCACCTTATCCATAGCGCATTGGTACGACTCTACGGTTCCAAAAGCAATATTTTATATCCGACAGCTTCTCATCGGCAGTTTATACCTTATTTTGAGTCGCTAGTCTCTCCTTACCAATGACTTTTAATAATTGTTACTTTTTTTTTCTCTTTAATTTACCGATGTTAATTTATTGTTACTTTATCTTATGGTTTTTCATTTTTGTTACCATTTTGTCATGTATTTTACGGACTTTATTTTCATATGGTTTTACAACAAGATAAGTAGCCGACTTTTGCATCGGAATTGATTGAGTTTGAGATGTATAAGTAGTCTTGTACAATTAATGTAAAAGTATTGTGGTTGACTATCGATACAATATTTCAATTTGATTGTGTAAGCAATTTAGAAACAATTTTCTGTATGCAATAATTCAACTAGCATTTTCTTGAGGTGGAGTTTTTTTTTGCAAAAATAATATAGTTTGAAGTTTCTTATTTGCACAAAACCCTTTTTAAAAATATATTTTGGAAATAACCGGGTTTTGTGCAAAAAAAATCTCAAACTATAGGTTATTAGCCGGGTTTCTCTAATCTCTTAGTTCACATAATTTTTATTTATTTTAAACATACGTATCATTTTATAAATGAAAAAAAATATAATTAGGTTAAATAAGAAGAGAAAAACAGAAACCCTAGTTAGGTTGTAGAGATGGAGGAAGAGAAAAACATTCCGCAAGAGATTCTAGAAGAGATTCTGGTCAAACTTCCTGTGAAATCGCTTTCACGATTCAAAGCCGTAACGAGAGAGTGGAGAGGAACCATAGAATCAACTTATTTCGTAGAGAAACAAGTTTTGTATCAGAAATCTCTAGGAGGAAGCCAAGCGAGCATCATGGCATTATCAAAGCGAAAAACAGACGATGGTGTACATGGTCTCCTTGTAGTAGAAAATATTTTGTGTTCAGCCAAAGGAATCGTACATGGTTCTCCATATCTGCCCATTAAGGCCTTTCGCAGTTATAATGATTACAAAATCTCGGAGCCTTGCGACGGTATGTTTTGTCTCTACACTGATAATAATCGTGCCTCCACGGTGGACACGTTTATCATTGTCAATCCTGCCTCCACTAGTCGACGTACACTTCCTAATCCCATCGGTACTATGAACCTCACATAACTCCCAAGTTACCTTTTTATCACTTTTTTTGTTCTTTCTCATAACTAATTGAAGCTTGTTTAATTTACAAGTTAGGTTTTGTTTCTTGTAACAGGTCGGTATGAAGATGATTGTTTTATTAGTTTGGCAGGGATCGGAAGAGAGAATAGTGTGAGTCGAAGATATAAGCTAGTTTTGTTTTATGAGCATTGTGTACCCAAAGCAACCAAGGCTTCGTGGCCTAGTGGTAAAGGGGTCACAGCTGTGACTTCCGCCACTTGGGTTTGAGTCCCCTTGGCCACCCGGGCTGCCTTAAATGGTAAGAATACGCGGACTGTCGTGGGCCTTGTGGGATTAGTCTTTGGGCCTAGAAAGCCTTTAGGATCCCACGGTTATCAAAAAAAAGAAAAAAAAAAAAAAAGCGTAGCAAACAATAAAGTTACTATGTGCAAGGTTTTTGCTCTTGGCTCTAATACTTGGAAAGTAGTAAATCCGCCTCATTGTCGACTTCAGTATTTCAACACTTCTCTAATGCACTTGGATGGAATCATGTATTGCCTCATTACAACTCACGATGAGATTTGCAATGCTAAGGTACTAGCTTTTGATCTTCACACTGAGAAGTTTCAAACCTTTTCGATTACTCTGGATATTGGGGAAAGAGGGAACTGTGAGTTAAGCATGTGTGTTCTTAACCATCGCCAATGCGTCTCCAAGAGTTTTGCTGATAACAACGACACTTGTTTCAAAATATGGTGTCTAGATATAAGCAAGACATCTGAGGAAATTATGTATTCCATAGATTTTTCTTGTTTACCGCCAGATGGCATAGTATGTCTAATCCTTCCAGTGGCGAACATCAACAATTGTGTTGTCATTTCAAGTTACCACTTTCAACTTGGCGCATTGGTACGACTCTACGGTTCCAAAAGCAATATTTTCTACTATTGGCCAGCTTCTCATCGTCAGTTTATACCTTATTTTGAGTCGCTAGTGTCTCCTTACCAATGACTTTAATTTATTGTTGTTACCTTTGTCATATGGTTTTTGTTCCCACTTTGTCATGTATTTAACGGATTTGGTTTTCATATGGTTTTACAACAAGACAAGTAAGCCTATTTTTGCATCGGAATTGCTTCGAATTTGAGATGATATAAGTAGCCTCGTAAAATAAGCCTATTTTTGCATCGGAATTGCTTCGAATTTGAGATGATATAAGTAGCCTCGTAAAATTAATGTAAAAGCATTGTGGTTGGCCATCGATACAATAATTAAACTCGTTTGTATGCAACAAAATTTAACCGCAATGAAAATAAATACGGTGTTGAGCCAAAAAAAAAAAAGAAAACACATTTGGTATAACAACACTAATTTGTGGCAATGTGAATTAAATTCTCTTAAGAAAGTCAAAACTCTTTTGATTTGACTGTCATGCTTAATTTAAGATTTTGTTTTAAAAAGTTGAAAAAAATGGTTACCGACATTTTTTTTTTCCATAGTAATCATTTGCTGAGTTTGGCCGCGTACACACACGGTAAAGAGATGAGATCCATTAATAGCTATAATTGAATGATGAAACACTGAACTGCCAGTGCTCCCGCAAAATGGCTAATCACCACCGACTTTTACGCGGCGGCGGATCTCCGGCGATAAGCGGCTTCGGTGTCAGAATCAGACTCACAGCTTTCGTCGCCACTATTGCACTCTCCCTCTTCACTCTCTCGTTCTTCTTCGCTTCCGAGTCTAACGACTCTCCTGATCTCCTTCTTCCCGTAAGTTCTCCACCGTATCTCATCAGATCTTTCCCGAAACAAAGCTAATCCTCAATATTCGATTTCTGAGTTCGAATTTGTAGCAGTTCTTAGCAATTTTCAGTGGAATTTGTGTTTGATTTCCGATTTTTTTGTGAAATTTTAGGGTGTTGGATACTCAAATGGAGTCGGATCCATCAGAAGATCCATACTGGATATCAAATCGGATCCGCTCAAGCCACGGCTGATGCAGATCCGGAAACAAGCCGATGACCACCGGTCGTTATCATTAGCCTACGCTTCGTACGCGAGGAAGCTCAAGCTCGAGAATTCGAAACTCGTCAGGATCTTCGCAGATCTCTCCAGGAACTACACGGATCTGATCAACAAACCGTCGTACCGAGCTCTCTACGTCTCCGACGGAGCTTCCATCGAAGAATCGACGCTTCGTCAGTTCGAGAAAGAAGTGAAGGAACGGATCAAAATGACTCGCCAAGTGATCGCCGAGGCCAAAGAGTCGTTCGATAACCAGCTCAAGATACAGAAGCTGAAGGACACCATCTTCGCCGTCAACGAGCAGCTGACGAACGCGAAGAAGCAAGGCGCGTTCTCGAGCCTGATCGCCGCGAAATCGATCCCGAAAGGATTGCATTGCCTCGCCATGAGGCTGATGGAAGAGAGGATCGCTCACCCTGAGAAGTACACTGACGAAGGGAAAGAGAGACCCCCGGAGCTGGAGGATCCGAATCTCTACCATTACGCTATATTCTCCGATAACGTGATTGCGGCGTCGGTGGTGGTGAATTCCGCTGTGAAGAACGCTAAGGAGCCGTGGAAGCACGTCTTCCACGTGGTCACCGATAAGATGAATCTCGGGGCGATGCAGGTGATGTTCAAGCTCAAGGAGTATAAAGGAGCTCATGTGGAAGTGAAAGCTGTGGAGGACTATACGTTTTTGAACTCTTCGTATGTCCCCGTGTTGAAGCAGCTGGAGTCTTCGAATCTCCAGAAGTTTTACTTCGAGAATAAGCTCGAGAACGCGACGAAAGATACGACGAATATGAAGTTTAGGAATCCGAAGTATTTGTCTATATTGAATCATCTGAGGTTTTATTTGCCGGAGATGTATCCGAAGCTGCATAGGATACTGTTCTTGGACGACGATGTGGTTGTGCAGAAGGATTTAACGGGGCTTTGGGAGATTGATATGGACGGGAAAGTGAATGGAGCTGTGGAGACTTGTTTCGGTTCGTTTCATCGGTATGCTCAGTACATGAACTTCTCGCATCCGTTGATTAAAGAGAAGTTTAACCCGAAAGCTTGCGCTTGGGCTTATGGGATGAACTTCTTTGATCTTGATGCTTGGAGAAGAGAGAAATGCACAGAAGAGTATCATTACTGGCAAAATCTGGTAATTTCTGATACCTTTCTTCGCTGTTGTCTGTTGTGTGAGAGACGAAATGTGTTATTGTTGTGTTTTTGACTTTGTTGTGGTGATTTGAATCTGCAGAACGAGAACAGGGCGCTATGGAAGCTAGGAACGTTGCCTCCGGGACTGATCACGTTTTACTCGACGACGAAGCCGCTGGACAAATCGTGGCATGTGCTTGGTTTGGGTTACAATCCGAGCATTGGTATGGACGAGATCCGAAACGCTGCGGTGGTACACTTTAACGGTAACATGAAGCCGTGGCTGGACATTGCTATGAACCAGTTTAGACCGCTTTGGACTAAGCACGTCGACTACGATCTTGAGTTTGTTCAGGCTTGCAATTTCGGCCTTTGAACTATGAATTTTTTCTCTTTCATCAACAAAAAATGTCTGAAAGCGTATGTTTGTTACTTCAGCCTTATGAAGTTTTAACCTTAGTGTTTATTTCTATATTTTTTGGGGAGTAGAAGAATACTGTATTTTGTTCATAGCTGTCGTAATCCTATAACGACCTATAATCAAAGCTTATATATTTATTGTTCCATCATTATTACCATTTTTACACGTTTTACCTCTAACCATGTGTGATTCATAAATGCTTGGCTAATTAAACAGTTCTCTTATACTCAAGAGGTTACTCTTGGTTGAACAGAGTTTGCTACAACTCTTGAAAAACTTTCAGAATGAAAAAGCTTTTAAACTACCAACGAAATAAGAATCGGACGAAACTCCCTGTGGCTCATGAGATTTAACAAAATGGCGAGACAGGGAAAAGAGAATAATAGTGTTTTTTTTTTAATAGTCATAGCTCTACTACGTCTCTAAACTCTCTAAAACAATTCGAACCTTTTGCTTGAAAAAAGGCACATTTACGCAGTGACAGAGACGCGAGGAGGAGCATCCACGGGTTTAGCAGATCCGTTAGCATCAATTCCACCACCGCCACGTCTTACACGTCCGTTGTTACCACCACCATTGGCCCTCGGGAACCCACCACCACCGTTGCTGTCGCCATTTGCTCTGTTGTTTGCGTATCCTCCTCTATTGTTTCCTCTGTTGTTACCATATCCATTGAACTCACCCCGACCACCGTAGCCTCCTCCTCCTCTACCACCTCCGAAGTTGTTACCACGACCCCTTCCTCCTTCGTTTCTGTAGCCTGTGCCTACAGCAAACGCAGGACGTCCTCTGTAGCTCCCTGTTTCAACGATAAATGTGATTACAAAGTTCATTGAGAGTTTCATTTCTAGTTTCTCAAAAGTGTAGAAATAGCAAACTTGCCTCGTGCCGTAGAACGCTTCTCCTCCACAACTACTCTCTGCCCATTGAGTGTGATAGGCGATGCCTGTCAGGCCCCAAACATATATACACATGTCAGTAACAGTTCATTAGCCTCGGATGATGATCAGGGCCTTGAAATATTCATTAGTTATTTACCTCGATTGCGCTTTGCATGGAAGCTGCGGATTCAAACTCAACGAAACCAAAACAGAATCCCTATAGAGCATAAAACTCAAAAGTTTAACTACTAGGTAATATAATTGTTAAAGCAATATGATTAAAGATGGGGAATGTTTTTACCTTCTGGCTTCTTACTTGGATTCCGTTGGTGCGAATAAGTCCGAATTTCTGGAACTCATTCTCGATCAAGGCTGGTGTTGCATCGAGTGGTAAGCCCTTTAGATAGATGGATGGACCTAGAGCTGTTCATGAGAAAGATTGCAGCTGAGCTTGCTTACCATTTACTAAACAAGAAAACAACGTGAGCCACAAAAGGAAAAAGAATTTACCTCTTTCACTTTCTTGATCGTTCCCATTTGCAGCTCCATTTGCTCCCGGCTCTGATTTCTCAGCCAACGGTGTTGGAAGAGGGACGTGAGTGGCTTGCTCTTCTTGCTTCTTTGGTTCCACCTTTGTTGGGGATCTTGAAGCAGACATTGGCGAAGCATTCTCTTTCATAACCTTCACCTACATATCAAGATTACGTACACCAATGGCGTCAGATCGTTGAGGGCAGAGAAGACATTACACAACCCAAATGAATATTACTTACAATGGATGCGTAAGATCTCTTTGGAACATCGCCACTCCTAGAGTCAGATTCTCCAACCTTCTGCACATCAACTGGAGCTTCATGAACTACTTCAGGCGCTGGAGTTTCTTCTGTAGCTGATACTTGTTCATTCTCAAAGGGAGTGAACACTTCAGGCCCGTTAATGCTCTTGGACAGCACATCAGGTTGCTCAACAGCATGATTCTCTTGGACGTATTTCTCCTCAACAAAGTCATCTGGAATGTCCTGAGCAGCAGCTGGATCTACAGTAGCACAAGAATATTTACAATGCTCATAAAAATCAAGATTCCATCAAAATGAACAACTTCGAATTGCTTAACTTAAAGGAGGAAGTTACAAAAGCTAGGTTCAACTTACCCTGGTGAATGTTGACAGGGACTTGAATGATATTCACCGGAATCTGATTCCCATGTACGATTGTGGTTTCATCAATGAAACGGAACATATCATTCAGCACAAAGTATCCCGTCTCCTGTGGAGCTAGGAAGAAGGTCTGAGTAAACAACCTCCTGACTCTGTCTTCTCCAGTCAGATACCCAGTCACGAGTACGAGAACACCACCGCCGTAAGATTCCTGTGTGTTCACGTTTGCTATCTCCGCAACGCTTACACCATAACCACTTGACTGTATCTTCATGTCTATAGCCTGGTCAAAAAATATATAAACACTCAGTATTCAGAGTTACTGAACAATACATCGCGTTTCCAAGAGGTTGACACAAACATAATCGGATTTCATCTTGAGAGTTAAAAACGAAAGTTAGTATACTCACTTGCAAGGTAGTAGTGATGCTCATCATACCATTCGCTTCAGGTCGGCCTAACTTGCTAATCTCTTGGTAAAATCTGTGAACATGCTCAGGAGATTGATGCAATATGTGATAATACTGATGCACAAAAGCATTCCCAACCTGTAAACACACACAAAATCGACAATGTACTTTTAAGAAACTGAAAATTTCCTTAAAACAGCGCAAGGTAACACAATTTTCATCTTCTTAAAAAAACTGGATCATACGATATCTGGAGTACAAGCTGCTGCTTGAACTTGCTGTGCACCTAACATCGCCATAGCCAAATTTCTTCCTGAAACAAAATCCAGATTAGACCTCGTGATCGGTTAAATTCCACTTAAATCTCAGAAAATTGGAGACGAAGAAACAAAACGGTGATACGATAGATTGAGATCTCTGATCTGGATACACAAATCAGCAGAAAATCCAACAAAACAACGTAATCGGATCACTAAAATCAGTTCGTCACTATATAAAAACGAAAACAATCAGCAAAAACACGGAAATGCGACGAAGATTTGCAAGGAAAACAAAGCGAATTAGCAAAAATCCGAGCTACAGAGAACCGATCTAAGTGCTACATCAGTTCTGGAATTCAATCGATCAAGTAGAATTACATGAACAGCAAGAGTGGAGAAGTATGCCATTGCAGAGAAAGAGAATTGACGGCAGAGAGTTTTACCTTAGATTCTTCTCGAAGAAAAACGACGATTCACCGGATAATCGAGCGACGATCCTACTAGTTCTCTCTCTCTCTCACACACCCAGGAACCTCGCTAAGCTATGGCGCAGGTTAGGGTTTTAAAGCTGAATCTCGAATAGAAGCGAGAGAGAGAGAGAGCGACGTGAGAGCAAAAGAAGAGAAAAGTGCCTTTTGTAGAATGTGTATAATTGTACGTTTGGGATGTTAAGTACGTTTTACCGGTTTATTGTTATTCTTCTCTTCCGCATGATTAATAATTAATTTAATTTCCGCATCTTTTATCAAAAATCGTCTCCAACTACAACCGCTTTTAGATATTTGCATAATTCTACATAGAAATTTCACTAGTATAAATTTAGGGATGAAACACACCAAGAAAAAAAAATCCGCAACCAGTAAACCAAGCCTAAATAGTTTAATCAAAACTGAACCGAAATTTGTTTCTAAACCGGTTGATGTCACTATTGAAAAGTACAAAAAGAAAAAACGAAACCATTTCTTAGTATAACGAAGAGAATCAACAACTTTATATTTTAAATTAATATATGTTCAGAAAAATATATAATACTAAATTTGATAATAAATAAAGGGAAACTTTGTTTATACTTTCAAGCTATATTTTCTTGACAAAAACCAAAGCAAAACCTCCGAAGATCAAAATGGATTTGAATCAAACAGAACCGAATCACAAATGATTTCAAATAAATTCACTCTTTATAGAACCGAAGAAACCGAACTAAAACCCAACCATAAACCGGATCACCCTTCATTTTCATTGTCAAATGTCTCCTATCAGATCTCCAAGTATTTGGCTCCAAAATATGTATATAGTTTAAATGGTTAAAAGAAGAAGAAGAAAAAATCGATCTTGACATATTTGATACTCTTTAAATTCTCTAAAGACTTCTTAAACAAACAAAAAGAGCGCATGAAAGGGAAGAAAGAAACCTTTCTAGATTATTTTGAGCATTTCTACTTTGCTAAAAGGTAGCTTAAGTTGACAAACACAAGAAACAAAATGTATCGGTTCTTTTGTAACGATCTAAACCGGCATCTTCAGTACAAGCTGACCCTCCATAGCACTGCAAACATGTTAATAGAACACATCAACAACATTGCCAAAACGGTACAACAAAGTTAATCATTTGTCCATCATCATCAGGTTCACATATAGTCGATATATATATATATGTATACCTTTTGACATAGTAGTAGCAGAAGTCGGCGAGGATGAAGGTTTGAACCAGCTCGGCTAATAGAGCCACCGGTAACCAAAAGTAACCAGCCCCGACCAGCCATAGGTAATGTCCACGAGTGTCATAGACCTACGTTTTGAATCATAGCATTATATTTATTAGTCTCTTGAAGTAATTGACCATTGAAGCTTATACTGGTCTATAAGGAGGAAGAGATTTAATTTACCTGGATAAGCCAATGAGCGCATGCCAAGAATCTAGCTACTCCCAACGCAAACACATAATGAGCTGTGAAAGGCTCTATGATCTGAAATGATTGTTCAAGAACATGTTAAAAAAACATTTAATAACCAGACTAATCCTAAAATCTGTAGAAAACAAGGTTCTATTGCCACTTAAAACATCTACATTGGCCAATATGGACGAATACTCAACCACTATATCATCATATTTAGTGAAAAGATTAACTCTACATTGGCAAAAAATAATCAAAAGCTATATAGATATTTCAAAAACCAGCATAAGTTTTGGACCTAAATCAAGACTAATCCTAAAATCTGTAGAAATCAAGACTTTCTTGCCACTCAAAACGTCTACATAATCTATACATTGACCAACATGGAAGTGTAGTGGATGAGATTCGATCCATTGTATTGACCAACAAGAAGAGATACTCAAACACTAGATCATCATATATTTGGCTAAAAGGCTAACTCTATACACTGGAAAAAAAGTAATCCAAAGATACATATAGTTATGTCGAAAAGCGGCTTACCTGCGCATTTTGCATCAACCGAAGCTGAGGTAGAACAGAGACAGATTCCGAGTAAACGCAAAACGCCCACATCACTCTATAGATTATATGATAACTCGTACTCGGATGGATAAAGAGGGCAAGGATAGCAGATGGAACAAGCTAGTGAAGAAAAGAAAAAAAGAGAGAAACATGTTACATAATCATTTTGATTCTTGAGAGTTGAAACCAACAAACAAACTAACAAAACCACATTCTTTTTAAGTTTAAAGAGCATATACATTACCACATAGTAATTGTAGCAAGTGTCGAGAGACTTTATGTAAGTTGCTTTGAGCTTGTAACGAATCATAAAAATGACCCATAGAGTCGAAACCAACGAGGCGAAGTCGAGAATTGTATGTATATCACCTTCCATGCTTATGCTGCAGCCCAGTCTCACAAATAGAAATGCTGCTGTCACTTCTTGAGACTTTAAAGAAAGACCTAATAATCACATCATTTTCACATTTTTTATCAGCTAAACCAAAATAGGGCTTGAAGAGAGATTCCACAACGTTTTGACTCAATATATAAACATAAATGTTCGCATTTCTATATTCCGAATTATCAAGCACACAAGTATAATTACATAAAAAAAAAAGAATAATGATTGTTACCGGAGCAAGTCTTTTGGCGAGTGAGTTTGTAGATGAGGATTAAGATTCCGGCGGCATGGATGAGCTCGGAGGCGATGAAAAAGTGTTGGTGATTCTTAACGGTTAATTTCAGAAACACGACGAGGATCAGGGACATGATAATCCCCAAAGCTATCTTGACCTTGCTCGATTGCTTTCTGACCCATCCGAAAACCACGTTCACGGCGGAGACGCCTCTTCTCTTCCCCATTTTGATTTGATCGAAGATTACCAAATCTCTCTCTCTCTCTCTCTCTCTCTCTCTCTCTCTCTTTTTCTCTCTCTCGCTCTGTGTTTTGTGTTTCAGAGCTTTAATGCGACGTTCTCTGAGATTGAAGGATACGTTTTGTTGAGTGAGCGGTGACACGACGAGGGCATGCGGTCGATGACGTGGCGATTTTATTTTTTGATCTGATGAACCAATAGTATTACGACATGTGTGAATGATGGTTGATTTTTTTAGTATTAAATCTGAATATGAGTCTTGGCTTGGATTTGAAGGCCTTGTATAAGGAAACAAAGTTATATATTTGACTATTTTATTGCCCGTTTTGCAAGATTGTTATCGGGAAATAATGTAAAGGCCATAATCAGAATCTTGGACCAGAAAAATGGTTAAACTTTTTTAAAAAGTAATAATAATTTGGATACCGGCCTTGGATCGAAATATATAAATGTAATCAAGAAGGCTGGATTTGGACCTGCCTTTTTACAATTTTATTATTTATTTAAATTAGGGTTTGGCCCGCGCGACACGCGGATAATGTGTATTACAAACTATTTAATAAAATATAAATTCAGATTTTCAGAATTATATATTTATTATATGTTTATATAGTTATCTTTTTTAAACTCTATCCACATAATTATAAATTATTTAAGAAACATAGAAATAATTATTGGTGAAGAGATTTCAATCACCAATATCACTATCCAAGCATTTGTTAACTAATGAGTAGATTTCAATAAATAAAATGATAAAGGAAATTTTTCAGGTTTAATGACCCTCTTTAAGAGTAATAATTGACCATTTAAATTATTTATCTTAAGTTTGAAGTAAATAAATCATGAAAATTAATTAGATTAACCTTATATCCTTGTAAAATGTAGAAAAAAAAGAAGCATATAACAAATTTTATCGTATATTTTAGTTTGTTTACTTCTAAAATAAAAGTAAAATGATTTTGTAGACCAATAATTTTTTTCTTTTTGCAATTCATAAACTATATTTTTTAATATATTTGTTTGACCCCTATTAAAAAAAATTCTAGCTCCGCCCTGATTGCATCCATGGTTTTGCTCCGACCAGTAAAAAAAAAAGAGGAAATACTTCGAAAAAAGAGAAAAAAATCCGATATTAATAATTAATAAACTTATACATATGTTTGACAAAACAAAATAATAAACTTATACGTATAAACGAATAGAGTACTTGAATATAAAGGAGTGGATATGGGTGCATATAGATTAGTAGGGTGACCAACGCATTTCTAACTTCTTACAAACCTTGAAAGTATCAAAATTGTCCTATCGAAAATATCCCTAGTTATTATGAAGACCTAAACGTACATTCTGTAGACTTATTATTACTAAACCCAAAAATGATAAATACTTGTAGACATGTAGTGAAAATTATTTTATACTTCCTACATATCCTCCTATCCATCATTATTCAAAATCACTTAATTATACAATTCAAAGATCGCAGGGATATATACGTTGAAAAGTTGAAACTATCAATCAAATACCCAATATCACCAACTTTTATAAAACACACAAGTTGAATAAAAGTTTCTGAATTTTGTTATATAGTCCTTTCATGCATATTTATTTAGTCCATAAGCTGATTATAAGTTTCTATAACTTTCATTTTTAGTCCTTCAATTCAAAGGGTTTTTGATTTTTGATATTTCTTGTTTAATCACGTTAGATTTCTCCCCTATGCTCTTTTTTTGTTTTTTTGTTTTTTTTTGTTGTTGTGCAAACTCTTTTCTTCTTTTCTCTCTCTCCAATTTAGTAATCGATTCTCTACGTGTTTCAGCGTTAGTCTTCTAGATCTCTAGCTTCCTCTCAAACCCCTTCCACAATCCGATCTCGTCACCGTTCAAAAGCCAGGAGCGATTCTGGGGATTCTGGGGAAGCCATTAGAAGACTTCAACAAGCTTTACACCATCGGAAACGAACTGGGCAAAGGTGGCTTCGGCGTAACTTACATGTCCGAGGAGAAACTCATTGGCCATAACTACGGCGTCAAATCCATAACCAAGAGGAAGCTAATCATCGAAGGCGACAAAAAAGCTGTCAACACTGAGATCGAGATATTGAAAGATCTTTCGGGAGTCTCCAACATCGTCTTTGATCGCTCGGTAAATCCATGTGACAGCGTCGTTTTTCTGGACAGCAATCGTTGATTTTCAGTTTCGTCGCTCGGTAATCCTCGTCGAGTTCACGGATTTCAAAGGCAATTTTACCTCAATCGCTGCACAATGCCTCCATAAGCTTTCTTCGCCGAACAACAAGTTTACCTTAGTCATACCTTCAATTACCTCGTGAAAATGGATTCAGTAAGTCAAAATCTTTCTCGATCTATGGATTTGATGCGAATAGCTTGTTTGAATTTCGATTTTATTTCTAGTGGGCGATGAGGTTTCTGTGCAAGGCAAAGGAACCGATCGGAGTTTACTTTTCTGCAGGTGAATGAAACAAGTGGAACAGATGAAATCATGATCCTTAACATTCTTAAACAAGCAACATCTAAGGTAATTTACAATGCTTTGGGGTTAAAAATGCTGTTATTCACAATGCTTAAGAGTGTGTGCGTGTGTATCTAAGAAGCTTCTTCATAATGAAAGTCTATATGCTTCTAAAAACAGAGAAAACACCAAGATTTATCCTTCTGTTGCTCAGACCACACACCAAGATCTAAGGTATGATTTTTCTTTCCTCGTGATATCATCAAAAGTATTGATTTTGTAATTTATATAATTATTATGTATTTTGAAATTGGCATCTAATTTCAGGTCAGGTAAAACAGCAGTTTGAAATCTTTGGAAAGGAGTATACAAAGAAAAATTGTACTTTCTCCATGTAATAGAACAAAGTAAAATAAAATTGTATTTTTCATATAATGTGAGCGACATTTGTATTGGAAATTTCTGGTTTATTAATTGAAAATTTTATATGGATTATTGATTATTTGATTTTGTTTTTGTTAATTAATTATACAATAATTAGCTTAAAAATGTGGATGGTCATGCGTCGGTTATTAATGGCCATGCGTTGGTTTTATAAACCGACGTGAGTTTTGGTTTAGGGTCACTTAAAACCGACGTGAAATTTTATTAAACTGACGTTAAAGTTTCGACGTTAAAGTATGCGTCGGTCGGCAAAATGACGTTAATTATTTTAGCATCATGCAATAACACGACGGTTTTGGAACCGATGCTAATTTGTTTACGTCGCTTTATAACCGACTTTAAAATCAATAAAACCGACGTTAAACGCCGTGTCTCGTGTAGTGTATGACCACCCTTCCTGTCCGCCACTGGTTACTAATCTCCAATAAACAATCAATATATATATATATATATATATATATATATATATATATATATATATATACCAATCCAACTTAAAATACATCACAAATTTTGTTAAGCCCTTTCAACATCATAACAATTGCATTGGTTTGCCATTTTCAAATAAACCATTATATGACTTATGGGGGAAAATAGTTTTGATCACATCATTTGTTTTATATGATTTTACAATATAAATGAAAAAATAGGTTTTAGCCTTTTAGGAGACGGATCTCGATAAAAGGACATGAACAGTAACACTATATACTCGGTAATTGAATTGAATGAATTTACTGTATAAAATGATTTTTTTTTTTGTTTTACAAAAACTCGATCTTGTAGATCGAATTTGAAAGAATAAACAAATACATCAACAATAATTATAAAAAATATATAGAACGGCATGTATATGTATGAAAGCAAAACACGTCGGTCCCATGCAGAAGAAGGATCAATGTAAAGGGACGTTGTCATGTGAGGTCTTAATTACTCTCGTTTGCACCGGTTCAATATGCTGCAACCACGACTATATGGGTTAGCAGCAACACGAGGTTTGATGTGGGAATTTTGAGGTGGGCATTCTGGGGGAGGATTAGGGCCTTGGCATGGGTGAATCACGCCTGGATTTAGAAACTTCCGGCCACCTTTCTTAGCCTCTGATTGATTCATAATCAAAGAGGCACTAATCACCAACAACAATATCACCCATGTTGCCTTCATTTTTATTTATCTTCAAATATGATTGATCCTTCTTCCTGTTACTTTTTGTTGTTGTTGTTTTATTTTATTTTTGTTGCTGGTTCATATATATAGAGCTTAGAGCGTACACTAATTTTAGCTAATCCATATTTGGAGAAAGCACAATCTAAAAGTAAACATGTTTAAATTGAATTCTTTGGGAGATTCTTCCATAGAAGCAAAACGCTGGCTCTTGACCTTTCTTTTTCTATCTCTATTTTGTATCTTGGTTTTAGACTCTCCGTTAAAAGTAGAATAATCTTCAATAACTTCCAAATAATAGATTTTTCTCTTTTTTTCAATAGTACAATTTTTCAATTGGATAAAACAATAAAAAGGAAAAATAATGTGTACATCAATTTTAAAAGAAAAAGAATCAAGAACCAATACACAATGGTTTAGAGTAATTAGTACAACTCGGGCTTCAGCCGAGGCTTAACCATAACTTCAACCGGGTTGATCTTTGGCATGGCTAAACCGGGCCCTTCAGCCATATCCAAAGGTCCATCAGACAACTTGCGTAACTCAAACCCCTGAATCAACCGAGCCAACACTAAATGAACAATTCTTAAGCCAAGATTCATCCCTGGACAAGACCTTCTTCCTGTTCCGAACGGAATATACTCAAAGTCGCTCTTTTCACATCGCGATTTCTCCTCCAAGAACCTCTCAGGCTTGAATGCTTTAGGGTCAGGCCAGATCTTGGGATCCCTGTGAAGTTTCCAAATGTTTACAAGCAAGCGTGTGCCTTTCTCAACACGGTATCCTCCAAGTAAACAATCTTCACTTGCTTCCCGGATGCCTAATCACCCATCATTTTTCATAGCCACATAGGTTTAGCATTTGAAAGACTAATAAGGACATGTAAGAAAAGAGACAATCAAGAGTCTATGTGACCTGTAAGAGGAGCCGGTGGGTATAGCCGGTGAGTTTCCTTGACAATAGCTTGTAGGTACTTGAGGTCTTGTATATCGGATTCTTCAATCCATCTCTCTTTCCCGACCTTATTTTCAATCTCTTCTTTTGCTGCTTTTAAAGCAGTCGGATTGTTAAGCAGCAGCGATACTGCCCATGTCAACGTGATGGATGTGCTGTCTGATCCCGTTAATGTAAGAACCTACAACAAGAAACATAACATTTTTCTCAAAGCCAACTGGCAATGAACCAACATGATATTTAAAAAAAAAAAAAATTATTTTCATGAACCTATAATCGATGTGAGACTTTTTAAAAATATATCTAAATTAACAAGAGTAATAAAACCGTTCCTACCAAAATAGTTGCCTTGACAATGATATCGCGTACATGTCCACCTATCACAACATCTTCTGGTAAGATGTCGAGCAATAGATCCATGATAGTCTTCTCTTGATCCTTTTCGTTTCTTGATCTCTTCTTGAGATGTTCTTGGAGCCACTTAGTGATCATCTTATACACTACAAGTGAGTTTCAAATGTGGAGTCACAAAGGTACATTTCGGACTCCTTACCTCTTCCGGTTCCCAAATTAGGTCCATTTGATGTTCCTCCCTTGGATTGAGACCGTTTCACTCATGTTTGTCCTCATAGTCATGTGTAGAACCTATTAATCCATGTTTGGATAAGTATGGGTCCATCTAGTTCATCTTATACACTACAAGTGAGTTTCCACAATGTGGAGTCACAGAGGTACATTTCGGACTCCTTACCTCTTCCGGTTCCCAAATTAGGTCCATTTGATGTTCCTCCCTTGGATTGAGACCGTTTCACTCATGTTTGTCCTCATAGTCATGTGTAGAACCTATTAATCCATGTTTGGGTAAGTATGGGTCCATCTAGTTCATCTTATACACTACAAGTGAGTTTCCACAATGTGGAGTCACAGAGGTACATTTCGGACTCCTTACCTCTTCCGGTTCCCAAATTAGGTCCATTTGATGTTCCTCCCTTGGATTGAGACCGTTTCACTCATGTTTGTCCTCATAGTCATGTGTAGAACCTATTAATCCATGTTTGGGTAAGTATGGGTCCATCTAGTTCATCTTATACACTACAAGTGAGTTTCCACAATGTGGAGTCACAGAGGTACATTTCGGACTCCTTACCTCTTCCGGTTCCCAAATTAGGTCCATTTGATGTTCCTCCCTTGGATTGAGACCGTTTCACTCATGTTTGTCCTCATAGTCATGTGTAGAACCTATTAATCCATGTTTGGGTAAGTATGGGTCCATCTAGTTCATCTTATACACTACAAGTGAGTTTCCACAATGTGGAGTCACAGAGGTACATTTCGGACTCCTTACCTCTTCCGGTTCCCAAATTAGGTCCATTTGATGTTCCTCCCTTGGATTGAGACCGTTTCACTCATGTTTGTCCTCATAGTCATGTGTAGAACCTATTAATCCATGTTTGGGTAAGTATGGGTCCATCTAGTTCATCTTATACACTACAAGTGAGTTTCCACAATGTGGAGTCACAGAGGTACATTTCGGACTCCTTACCTCTTCCGGTTCCCAAATTAGGTCCATTTGATGTTCCTCCCTTGGATTGAGACCGTTTCACTCATGTTTGTCCTCATAGTCATGTGTAGAACCTATTAATCCATGTTTGGGTAAGTATGGGTCCATCTAGTTCATCTTATACACTACAAGTGAGTTTCCACAATGTGGAGTCACAGAGGTACATTTCGGACTCCTTACCTCTTCCGGTTCCCAAATTAGGTCCATTTGATGTTCCTCCCTTGGATTGAGACCGTTTCACTCATGTTTGTCCTCATAGTCATGTGTAGAACCTATTAATCCATGTTTGGGTAAGTATGGGTCCATCTAGTTCATCTTATACACTACAAGTGAGTTTCCACAATGTGGAGTCACAGAGGTACATTTCGGACTCCTTACCTCTTCCGGTTCCCAAATTAGGTCCATTTGATGTTCCTCCCTTGGATTGAGACCGTTTCACTCATGTTTGTCCTCATAGTCATGTGTAGAACCTATTAATCCATGTTTGGGTAAGTATGGGTCCATCTAGTTCATCTTATACACTACAAGTGAGTTTCCACAATGTGGAGTCACAGAGGTACATTTCGGACTCCTTACCTCTTCCGGTTCCCAAATTAGGTCCATTTGATGTTCCTCCCTTGGATTGAGACCGTTTCACTCATGTTTGTCCTCATAGTCATGTGTAGAACCTATTAAACCATGTATGGATAAGTATGGGTCCA